ATACAAAATCAATACAAAGCCCCAGTCACAGAAACGTTTGTTCACAACTTTGTTGCTACTGTTTAGTGAACAGCCACCAATCATTGCCCTCTTAAAACAAAAATACCAAAAAAAATGGTGCACAAAAACAACAATGTAAACATGATATGAAAAAATATACCAAAGAGAATACAGTGAAAATCCCACATACATGTATATCATCAATGTGTATCATGCAATATAAATATGAATTTGACGGAAAAATATGTGGCAATTAGTTGTTCTATAAAAGTAATAACACATTTAAATAGTAACCACAATTAGTGTTAAAAATATTAATTTTAATTACCCCCAAAAAATAACACAAGCCACTGAGTTGGTCTAAAAAGATTAACAAAGTGTAAATCATAATACATCCTATTGAAACAAAAAAGTCTTATTTCAACTCTGTTAAGTTTCACTGACCAACTACTACTTGCCTGTCACAACTGGCCACACAGGGTGATGTGTACATGCTCAGGTGTTTGTTTCTGTGCTTTACCAGCAAGTCACTATTATGCCACTGGTTGTGTAATGGCAGCTTTTATAAGCAATCCACTACAACAAAATTGCAACAGGGTTGTAAATCTGATGGTAATTTGTATCTGCTCCAAGCTACCAAATGCTGTTAGTAATGACCGTTTATGGTAGCTGTTTACAGACAAGTGTGTAAAAGAGCCTGCAGTTTGCTAGATGATGTAGCAAAAATTAAATAAGTTATAATAATAAAAAAACAAATAAACATGAAATGCATTTTAAGGAAAAGTTTTCATCTTTTTAACATTTACTATATTTTCCATCTCATTGAAGTGAGTCCCATGACACTGTCACTCCATTCAGTGTTTTTAAGCAGGTGGTCACCCATAACTCGACTCCCACTAAAGGTATGGCTAAGTCAGAGGTTACACACTACCTTCTAGCGGTGCCAGTTCATACCAGCACTAGTGATGGTTTTGATAGGCAGAGAGTGGTCAGATGACCCTCTCAGCCAATAACTGCCACCCATTGTGGCTCTGGCTAATGCTTTAGAGGTAATGGGCTGCTTCGGGCAAACAAACAAACAACAATATAAATGGTGTAACATTCCCTTGGACATGGCTTTTTATCAAAATGTTGCAACTCATTTATGATAGTCCAAAATAACTTGATAGCTAAACTGGTACTTTCCAGTAGACAGATGACTGGAGAGGTGTTGGGATATCTACAATATCCACTCTAGCTACTGTTCTCCAAAGGATGGCGGGAGCCAGCTAAGATGGACAAGCTCACAGCTCTGGTGCTTGACACTGCTAAACAATATCATACGATTTGGGATGTTTGGCTTCAAAACTATAACCTTTCCACTCTGCCAATAAAACTTCTTAGATTTCCTAGGAAGCATCGTGCTGCCTCTCTTGATACTTACTGTTCTTATATTTAGCTCATTATTTTTTTATTTTTTCCTCATGGATGATGAAGAGTCTGTTCTTAACTATATCTTCTCTTTAATCATCATTCTTCTTTCTTCTTCAAAACAGCAAGTGAGATAAAAGTTTATCTTCGCCCAGTAACAGCCAAATGAGGCTTCAAGGTGTGAAAAGTCTTGATATAAAAACCTTTCCAAGATTTCAATTCTCATTAGAACATTTTTCTTTCCTGCCAGAGTGCAATGTCCCTTCTGCCTCCACTCTTGTCCAGCGAGTGGGAGCAGCTAATTAATGTCCTCACCCCATCCCACACCCATTAGCTGTAGGTTGGGATGCTGTAAATCAGGGCTGTCCAACCTGTGGAACCCCCAGATGTTGCTGAACTACAACCCCCATCGGCACTACTGATAATATTCTTGAGGGGACCTAATTCCCATCCCAATCTCTTCTAAATTTTAAAGTTAACAAATGTTTAATTAAGCTATTAGTAGAAGCACCACAAAAATGTGGCCAAGTATATTTTTCAAGAAGAAGGGACTGGTTCATCAAAAGATGTTGACAATGAACCAGAGCCAATGGTATCCACCCCTGTAGTGTCTTCAGCTGTAGACAGCACTATGGGTATACTGAAGAAGAGAACGTGTGTATTATATTTTAAACTTCAAAGGCAGGAGGAAGTAGTAGATTGGATGTATCAGTACATTATGTTAGAAAGCAGTCAAAGAAGTCAGATCTTGCAAAATGTAGTCATAGCCTGTTTGTAAGCAAACGAGATTGGCAGCAGCAACCTCCCAACTTGTACAAGGACAATGTAGTCAGAATATTAAATTCCCCAGAAACCAGCAGCAGACCTGTATAGCATAGTAGCACAATTATTAACACTAGTACTTGATATATTAAGGGAACAAAGATAGCAGCAGCAGCAAGTAACAGGATGAGTGGTGTAAAAGGGGGTCAGTCAACAGCACTGCTGTCACTATTCCTACCATCAGATGTAACCTTTTAATTCTCTACCAAAAAAAGTGTTTGAAGACATTGCAACAGGCTTGGAACATATAAAGACATTAGATAATGATCTGGAGGGAGATGGATGTTTAGCAAAATGCATAAACTAATAGAGATCCTGGCACTCCTTGGTTCAAGACAGGTACTTTATTGGGAACCACAACAGCTGTTGTGGTTCCTAATAAAGTACCTGTCTTGAACCAAGGAGTGCCTGGACTTCTATTACTTTATTAATTTTTGGAAATCTGGTGTTTGATTCCGCTTCAGCAAGCACCCCGGCTCAGATCTATGGGAGTGAGTATAGTTCCACACACACTACTAAAGGTTTAGTAAAATGCAAGCTGTGTGGCAAGGAGGTTAGCAGGGGAAGGTTTGTCTACATATGATAAGTACAAGGATAAGCAGTCATCTCAGCACACATCGCAAGGCTGTTCTGTTGTGAGATGAAAGAGAAGGATCATCATCGTCATCATCATCATTATCAGCAACACCAGCACTCTCTACAAATGCCAGTAATGAGGAGAAGTTTAATATTCTATTAAACAGTGAGCAGCCATAGGCCCCCACCCCTGAATGGCGGGTGGGGGACCTACAGTAAAATAAAGGGGGACCTAATGTCCTCTCCCCTGGCCCCCACCCCTGAACGGTGGATGGGGGCCCTAAATACAAATAAGGGGGGGACCTAATGTCCTCCCCCTGACCCCCACCCCTGAGTGGTGGGTGGGGGCCCTAAATTAGAATAAAATTGTTTCAGCTATATGTTGAGGTTATAGAGTAGTAAAGTTAAAGTTAGAAAAGTAAGTTGGACAGGCAGCAAGCACAGCAGTACACAAAGGCTTTGCAATGCGTGATGGGGAAGCCAATATGATCAGAGGTGGAGAATTTATTGTTGTGAGCTGTACGTACATCTGGCGGTGATAAATACACTTCCTACTGATGCAGAGAATGGCAATAGTGCAGCCTAATAGGGAGATATTGAAAGATTGCTGGGTACTTCCACTACATTGTGAAGGCAAATCAAAACTTGAGGGAACAGGTTTGCTACCGTATCATCTTCGCCAAGATGTTGTGACATAGTATAACTCCACTTTGGGATGATGGAATGATGATTTAGGCATAGGATTAGGATTAAAATTTAGGATTGGGATTAGATATTAAGTAATATGATTTGATCATGCTTATAATCCGTCAGGGAAAACACTGCTGTGGCCTGCTAGTGATAGAGTTAAGGTGAGGTCTTTGACTAATTCTGCTGCTCTCCTACACCCCCTGAACTGGTTGGGGTTATCCCAGGCCCCATTGGACTATCTCTGGACTAGATTGTCTGATATTGACATTGGGCCCGCTACCTGAGTTCCAGCTAGACAAAGGCCGCTGTTCTATATATACTTAGCTTTATGAGTCTTGGCTTCTATTACACTATCTCGCTACTCTTTTTTTCTACAGTGTGAAGTGCAGTAAGCTATTGTTGATTTTAATCTAGTGGTTAATTCGCATGCAAGTTGCATTTATAAGCCTGTTTACTATCATGTAGTAGGCAATAGGTAGCATGTTTACAGTCTAGCTTGTTTATCTACATCCTGTTTGGTCTAGCATGTCTTCCCACTGTATATCTCATTCCTCTCCGTGACGCCCAGCTAGCTTAGCATTTCTGTTTCAGGGTTAGAGAAAACTTCTCTTCCCATTTAACCTATGCCTTGACTTATTAGGCTTGACTTGTTCTTTTCTATTTCTTTTAAAAATTGTGCTGAAATTTTAAATGCCATGCACTGTAAAGTTGTGAATCTTTGTTTACCTTGATATTGCTGTTGTGGCATTACAAGAATGTTTGTTATCTTGTGCACAGCAAATATAATGATTGACAAAAAAAAATAAATAAAAATATCACATACTTTGAAAGAAATGGGGGAAAAATGGCACCTCAATAAAGCTCAAACTATTTAATGTAAGAGAACCCATGGTATCCACATTTGCAAATTGTATGCATTATCTGAATAATGTAAATATGTGAGCCACTAAATATCCATCTTAACGTAGCTTTTCAAGGCACAATATACACCATATGAGATACACCAGAGTGTCTATTTTCACAAATGTTAAGTCTTTGTAGGGCAATTTAAAGACTCAAACTGCTATAATGCCCCAAAATGAGACATAGGACCATAAAATCCATTAAAACTAAAACTGTAAAACTGGCCCTTGAAGTTTTGTCAATTTGCAACAGCACAAAACGTTTAGGCTGCAGCCTTATGGTTTAATCATAATTCTGTATGCTACATGCTGCTGATTTGATTTTAAACCCACAGGTGGGGAATAATAGAAAAAAATGTTGTTTTCTTTTTACTACAACATTGCTGCTTATTTTCATTATATACCTTTCCTGTATACAGTGTATGTAAAATAAAGAAAGTATCTGCAATCTGGAAAGGTAACGATAAGAGCTGTACTATATACTATATCCTGTATCTCTTCTGCTCTTACGTTTTGCCGTAGAGGTACTTGGAACATTAAAGACATGCAAATGAGGGAGGAAAATATTTACTCATGAGGAAGTATCATAGCAAGGTAGCAGTCGCTTACCTGATCGCAGAATGCAAAGAGTTCGAAAGACTGTGAAGTGACAGAATAAAGGAATTTATTCTCAGATATGATGTATAAGCTGTCCTGTAGAAACGTATAATAATGGTGAGTATCATATTAACATCTTTTGTTTAAATTCTGGCATTACTTGATGTTTTAGCGAGTTAAACGTTCACTGCTTTTTATACACACTGCACATGCAGTCAAAATTATGACATGAAAGTGAAATAGTGTTTTGACAGTGTGGGAAAAGTGGTTATTGGGTCAAATTAAAAGACATTCATCCTAGTTTGTATCAACACATGTTTTCAGCTTACACATGATGTGTTAGTCTGCAATGCAATAGCAATCCATTAAAAGGCAAGGATTTGATAGGTTTATTGTTACATATTGTAATTTAGAATACTGCAAATGTACAAAATCAATGTTAATGTGTGTTACGGACTACGTTCTACCATTTAATGCAATTAAAGAAAACATGTCACAGTTTCAACTTCAGTCAAAGGACTGGCAAACAAAACCTTTTTTATACCTGTGATTGATATAGCAAATAAAGATTTGTTTTACTGCCAGTTAATTTCCTCAGTAAGTACTAACTTTAACCCTTACTCAGATGTTACAAGTTCACAGTAAGTACTAACTTTAACCCTTACTCAGATGTTACAAGTTCAGTGAAATAACTTGTGATTTAACTTGTTAGAGAAACATATAGCTAATGCACTTGTTAATGAAACTAAAACTAAAAGAGATATATATATAGTTATTCTGAGAAGTGCTTTACAATATCATGCAAATCATGCTCATGTTTCAGTTATGAAAAGAAAAGGGTTAACTATTCTTTTAAAAGAAACATTATCTTTGTCTTTACTTTTATGGCATGATCAAAGTTTTTTGCTATCTAGACTTTGGCAATTAGATTGGGACAAAATAAAATGTATTCATAAATTGCTCCATTCATTCAATCCCATTGTTTGAATGACAAATTAATGACTTGATTTGTGCTGTGAAAATTTAAATAAAAATGATTGCATGGTGAACCAAATTCATCTACACCATTCATTTTTCTTAATTCAAACTTTTCATTATACTCATATTTTTTATATATAATTTCATACAGCCCTTACACATATACAACTGTGTTACTCTTGTACACTCTAAAGATCTACCTCACAGATATAAAACTTCCAGCATTGTTTCCAAATTGTTTGATTTTTCACTACAACTATCCTAATTAAAATCTTTTCACTACCTTCATATCCCTTCCATGTGAACTGTACATCCCCCCTTTATTTAATATGTTATACATTTCCTCAACTCATTTTGTGTGTTCTTCACCATTCTTCTCATATAATTGTTTGACCTAATATATCCATTTCCTTCACTTCATCTCATCCAACTCATAAAATATTTTGTTGTTTTATGGTATCTGTTTTCTGATTTCTTCAAACCTCGTCATTTATTAATGCACTTACCTTTCCTTCTCTCAGTGATTGCTTTCTTTAATCTACTTTTCTATTTGCCAAATATCTGTGCATTCCCTAGCTCTCTCCATTTTTATCTTCCTCTTGGCAAAGTTCTGGAGTGACTCTACAGGTGGAACAAGGTTATACCATGTGAAATGTAATCCTGCAATTTCATTAGGAGACAGGCTCTGATTCCTCCACCGTACAGTTTCTGATTCAGCAGCAATGTTCTTATGTTGTTATGTGAAGTGGTAAGGCCAGGTCACTACAGAACATGGGTCCTACACTTATCTTTAATATGGGAGATGCACACAATGGCACAAGGCTACTTAAAATCATAAATCTTCTGCTAATAAGGTGTGATTTAGAAATGTAGGATTTAGTCACACTATTGGTCTATAGCAAGTTCAAGTGTTGCGGTTCACTTACTTATCTTCATGTTAAGGTTAATGTAAGCAATGGTGAGCATGCACACAGTAATATTTATTTATTTTGTAAGTTTTGACCTTGTACTTTGTGTGTGTGTGTGTGTGTGTGTGTGCTATTCACTTAGTTCTGTATACATGTAGGTCTTCACAACAGTAACACTATTACTAAATGCATGTTCTGGATGTGTTCCCATTATTGTTTGTCTGTTGTCTATGTTGGTACTCTGGGACAGAAAAGAAAGATGGATATAGTTACCTAAATCTCAACCTTGGCCCTACCATCTTCTACTATAGTCAAAACTACTATTGAGTTTATCTGTGAGGGTCCTGACTCAGTGGTGCAGTCTGTGTGAGAGTTCAAAATGGAAATCTATTCTGATCCTGAGAATTAATAGGAGCCTCCTTGTATGAGATTCCTTAAGAATCTGTTGTGCACTAGGCTAGATAATGTTATGCCCAGGAGCCATGGTGAGCGATGACTGATGTGAAATGGCAGGTGTGGTGGGAGAAACTCTGACACATATTGTCAAATACTCAAAGTAAGGATTATTAGGTCTCATTTGCAGTATGCCTTCTGACCATAGAAACATAGAAACATAGAATGTGACGGCAGATAACAACCATTCAGCCCATCTAGTCTGCCCAGTTTTCTAAATACTTTCATTAGTCCCTGGCCTTATCTTATAGTTAGGAAAGCCTTATGCCTTTCCTAGACGCATGCCTAGACTCCTTTACTGTGTTAACCTCTACCACTTCAGCTGGAAAAAGTTGACCAAGTTGCATTTTTTTTTTAATAAAATTGGTCTTTTTATAATACTTAACATAATTAAATAATCTAGAACATATCACACATACCTATTATTATAAATTCACATTTTTAATGCATTGCATTATAATTCACTTTCAAATTGTCACAATTCTTACTTTAGTGAATAAGCCGGTGGGTTTACATTTTAAGATACATCCATAAGCATTGCAGGTTCTTTTCTTTTTTTTCATCATTGTCTCAGAAAGAACAGAAGATGCATATTACAGAGGGTACAGAACATGAGTAAATATGGGTGTGTAGTGTATTTTGAACATTATCCAGATTTATAATTTCTTCACTCTGTCAAACAGAGTTAGAAAGCACTGTTAGTTACTGGAACATACATTTGATGCATTACACAGATAATCCATTAAAAATAAAATAACATACATACACAGTTGCATTGTAATGTAGGCTGACAGGACTCTAGTCAAGGGATGCCAAAAAGGCAGATCGACAGATGTTTAAAAACTATAGCTTCCCTAATGCATTGTCATTCTAAAGGCATTTTAAAGGTATGCAAAGCCTCATGTGAGTTGTTGTTGTTTTTTTTTTTTCAATTATTTTTATTAATTTATAGAGAAATTTTACATACACCATAGAGGGAGTATACAATCCTTCCATATAGCATCAAAAAATGTCTTAATATTACAATAACATTTACATACATGAATAATATATATCACAATTACACAGTCACCAAAAAGGACAAATGACATAAACAAGACAAATAATACTGGTCATTCCACATCATTAGATAATACCCGATCAGAGATCCCTCCATCAATACCCAGAAAGCAAATAATTAATCAATGGTATATAGTTGCTCGCCCTAATTCCATCCTGCTATCATTACCAGGAAACCTTTTTACTTATCGGAGTAGGTTATATCACTAATTTTAGAAAGTATTTGTCCTCTCTAAGAATATATCATATAAGTCCAATGTTCTCGACTTAGGAATTAGCGTCATAGAGTATACTCCCTTTTCCCTCTCTAATTGGTATATCACTTAGTTTTTAAGATGAACCTTAGTAGGAACCTCAATACTTCGCCAATGTCTCGCTATAAGAGTCTTAGCTGCCATTAAACAATGAATAAGGGCCATATCAGATATTTGATTCGTATTTGGACCCATTATATGTAATAAAGCCAATTCTGACTTTTGTTCAAATCGTTTATCCCCTAATAAATGGATCAGACTGAATGTCAAGTTCCATAAAGATTTAATTCTAGGGCAAGACCACCAAATATGTAGCATTGATCCGTCAATATGGAAACAACGCCAACAATTAGGTTGATTGATCTGTGAGATTTTAACTAAACGGAATGGAACCATATACCATCTGTATGCCACCTTAATAAAAGTTTCTAAAATATTGAGACAATGAATATATTTTTTTGTCTTCTGAAAGGATTTATACCATATATCTGGAGGAATACTGATCCCTAAATCCGATTCCCATTTTATTAATGATTTAGGTAACGCCTGAGATCCCGATATACTTAATAATTCTACAGCAATTGATATCACATTTTTAACTTCACACCCTGTAAAGATTTTAGTAATCAAATTCTCTATTCTACCATCAAGGGTTAACAAATTGTCTTTAAGAAAACTGTTCAAACGAAGAAAGTTAAAGACTTCTCTATGAGGTAGGTCAAAAGTTGTCTTGAGTTCCTCAAAACTTAACATTTGTTGGCTATTATACATATCCGATATTAAATAAGGGAAATCTTTATAACAATTTTTTAAGTTGATATCCGGTAAGATTTGTTCCAAAGTAGCAATATGAATTTTCCCTAAAATTTTGTTTTTAAAGTTTAATTTTTTCTTGATAATTTTCCATTCTTTAAGGATTTGGCGAAGAATTAGTGGAGTGTTAGTCGATAACTTATTTATTGCATAATTATTTTTTTCATCACCCCACAGAAGAGATGCTAAATTTTTAACTCCACTTCTATATGCCTCAATTTTATACCATGTTTGAGTTTGGGCTTCCTTAATTTGTAATCTGCTAGCATGAACTAGCATATTAGCCTGATATACTTGGCATATTAAAGGATATCCCATACCGCCCTGATGTGCTTTCTTAGAAAGCATAGTAATATTAATTCTGGGATTTTTGCCTTTCAAAATAAAATTATTAATACTACTTTGGATCATATTTAGCCAGTGTATGGAAATAGAAAGTGAGAGCATATGAAATAGATAAGTCCATTTCGAGATTATGTATGATTTGATTGTATTAATCCTACCCCACCAGGATATTTCTTGAGCTCTCCAAACTTTCAATAATAGATTAGTCTCCTTTAATAATTTTAAAAAATTGGTCTCCATAGTGCGTGAAGGATCTGTTGTAATTACCAGACCTAGATAGGAAAGTTCCTTATTGGTCTAAAGAAAATCATATTCTTTTTTCAAAGAAGATAGTATATTACTTTGAATATTTAACACCATAGCAGTAGTTTTACTTGTATTCACTTTATAATTAGAAACTAAACTATAGTTTTCAAATTCCTGCATTAAAATGGGTAAGGAGATATGCGGTTCAGTGATAGAAATTAATATGTCGTCCGCATATAAACAAATTTTCCCATCATTCTCTTGTGTCCCTATTACTTTAGTCACCTTGTTGTTTCTAATATTATTGGCTAGTGGTTCAACTGATAAAACATATAATAATGGTGAGAGGGGACATCCCTGTCGGGTTCCATTGGAGATAGTAAGCCATTCCGAGCATAAGTCTCGGCCCACTATTCTGGCCCTAGGATTAGAGTAAATTGCACCCACCGCATCAAGAAACCAACCATTCAATCCAAAATGTTCCAGGGTGGACCGAAGGAACTCCCAACCGACCCTATCAAAGGCCTTCTTAGCATCAATCGCTAGGGTCAGGAGGGGAACCCCCTCGGAACTAGCCCAGTCCAAAACATCCAAGACTCTACGAGAGTTATTACAAGATTGCCTACCCATTATAAATCCTATCTGGTCCGAGTTGATCAAAGTCGGTATAATTATTTTCAGTAAGAGAGATAGAGCGGTAGTTATTTATCTCAGTAGGTAGCTTATCTTGTTTCAAAATAGGGGTAATATGGGCCTGTAACAAATCTAAAGAGGCACGGCCCTTATTTGATAATTCATTAAAAGTATCCACTAATAATGGTATTAATTCTTTTAAAAAAACTTTATAGAATAGGTTAGAATACCCATCCAGGCCTGGAGCTTTACTATTTTCCAATTTCCATCAGTTGGTTTTGTCATCATTGCAAATGGTTGACTAAAATCCCTAAAGGACAACATTTGAGAGTTTTTAGGAATTGCACAGAGAAGGAGAATTTTAAAGAACAGGTCCAGGTTTTAAATAAGAAGTTTTTAGATAGAAATTATCCGAGAAAGCTTTTATTTAATACTCAAAGAGAGGTAGAGGGTCTTCAGAGAAAAGATGTTTTAACAAACAATAATAGAATTAAGAAGGGTGCTGAGAATTGTTCGGAATTTGCCCTTTTTACTAAATTTAGTAATAAAGCCAATTTAATAGAGAAATCAGTTAGGAAGAATTGGCCAATTTTACTGCAAGATAAATTTTTACTAAATATTTTACCTCAGAATCCTAAAGTTATATATAAAACACCTAATAATTTGAGGGACATTTTAGCCCTTAGTATTTTACTCAAGAAAGATGTTGCAAATGAGAAGATTAATTTTTTATCAGAGAAGACCAAAGGCTTTTTCAAATGTGGAAGATGCAGTACATGCAAATTCCAGAAAAATAAGATTATGGAATTTTCTGGTACTGTGACTAAAGAAACTTTTAGGATAAAGCATTTTATTAATTGTCAAAGCTTGTGGTATACTTGTTACAGTGTAAGTGTGGGGTCCAGCATATAGGACGTACCATTAGGAAACTACACTTCAGATTATTAGAACATTTTAATGGAATTAAAAATAAAAATGGGAAACACAGTGTACCTAAACATTGCAATGCCTGTAAAGAATTTGATTTTAAAGATTTTATTTGCATTGAGATTGATATGGTTTTACCTCATTGGAGGGGCGGAGATACCGAAAAAATGTTAGCCATGAGGGAAACAGAGTGGATATACAGAATGAAATCCTCTGTTCCCTCAGGACTTAATTCAGATTTAGACATAATGGCTTTTATGGATTGATTACATTAATGTGTATTCTGTATTGACCCTTTTCTCTTTTGTATTTGCTCTCTTCTTTTTTACTTAAGTATTTATCTTTTACATTTTTTACTTAAGTTTTATGGTTATCTGGTGTTTACATATTTTTTATATATATATTTTTTATATTCTTATATTTTTTTGACTATTTTTTTTTGACTGTTCTTTTCCTCCTTCTTATTGTATATACATAAAATGTACATTTTGATGTAAGGTACAATGACTATATTATGGTTCCTGACACTTATATGCCTTTTTGTTGTTATTATATTTATGTGTGTATATGTATATATATATATATATATATATATATATATATATATATATATACACACAATATCTACTCTTTGTGATTTGTATGCCTTTATTATTGATATCTATGGTCATGATATGCATGTTCCCACTGTCGATATAGTGGAAAATTTATTCATACTTACCGTAATTTTCTTTTCCTGGCTATTATTCATGGCAGCATATACACATGGGTTAGCTCCTCCCCTACAGCCGATAGGACAGGAAAACCACCAAGGTTTTAAAAGGAGGCTCCATCCCTAAGGTCCTCAGTCAGTTTACAAGCTCTACAGTACATAAATAGAGACATTAATGGGTGGGAAGTATATGCTGCCATGAATAATAGCCAGGAAAAGAAAATTACGGTAAGTATGAATAAATTTTCCACTTTCCTGGCTAATCATGGCAGCATATACACATGGGGAATACCCAAGCTTACAAAGGGAGGGACAGAATAGCCAATCAAATTATCAGAATAATTCAGCATAGATAGAAGAATGAACTGAGTTAAGTACTTGAGTACCAAATTGTGCATCATAGACTGTTTTAACGAACAGTATGAAATGCCAGGCAAATGTGTCTAAAAGAGGTTCAAATGTTAGCTTACAAAAAGTGTCAGCAGAAGCCATGATGCTGCAACAGCATGAGAGGAGAGTGCCCTGATACCCTCTAGCACAGGTAGAGAACGGACGTGACATCCAAATTGTGCCTCATAATTGCTTCAATGTTCAATATGTAATGCATGACAAACTAGTTCAAATGCCAACTTTACAAAGTTTCAGCAGAGACCATTGCCATGGAAGCCCACAAGATGCTGTAACAGCACTAGTGGAGAATGCCCCAAATCCTTTGCTACAGGTAGAGAACGGCATTGAAAGGCTCTCACTTTAGGCACGATCACTGGTGCTACATGCAAGACAACCATATCCTGTTGAAATTCAGTGAATGGGGGTACACAGGATCAAGCCTGGAGTTCACCCATTTCCCTTGCTGGGGTACCAGCCACCAGCACTTTCTGTGCTACCACCATGGAAGCTCCTTCTAGAGGTTTGAATAATGGTTCAGTCAGGGCCCGTGAGACCAGTGGTACTTCACATATTGGCTTCACCACACTCAGTGGAGGCATGATTCCAATCAATGCCTATACGAAGCAAAGTGCAGCAAGTGCACACATTCACCCTGCTGAGGTACCAGTCACCAGCAACAGCAACGTCTGGACTAACATCATGGAAGCTCCTGCTAGAAGTTCAGTCAGAGTCTGTGAGACCAGTGGTACGTCACATATTTGTTTCAACACCCTCAGCGGAGGCTTGAGTTCAATTGTTGCTTACATGAAGCAAAGCACCAGGGGCATCAACGCTCAATCAGTACCCTTCAGTACAGGTAGAGAATGACATAGATAAGCATTCACCATAGGCAGGATCTTCAGGTGCCAAATGCAAGACGACCATATCCGTTGAAAAGTAGTGAAAGGGGGTTCACAGGATCAAGCCTGGAGTTCACCCATTGTTCTTGCTGGGGTACCAGCCACCAGCACTTTCTGTGCTACCACCATGGAAGCTCCTTCTAGAGGTTTGAATAATGGTTCAGTCAGGGCCCGTGTGATCATTGGTACCTCACATATTGGCTTCACCACACTCAGTGGAGGCATGATTTCAATCAATGCCTATATGAAGCAAAGTACAGCTAAGTGTTCCTCTAGAGTGTTATAACACAGAACCTTTCAAGGCCTGAACGAGGAGTAATTCCAACAGACAAAAGCATGTCAAGATTAGTAAAGCCTGTATAGGATTGTAAGAGGATCTCAATGACCGTCTCAGGGATGCCTATACTAATATGGACTCCCGCATCAACACCAGAACTTGAGGATCCTGGTGTGTCATGGGGCCTTGTAATATGTCTGGACGTACAGGAATTTCCCTTGGAGGTTCCAGAATAATTTTATTCATCATAAAAATTAGAGTCGACACGGTCTTCCACTGTCACCTTTTGCACTGCCTTTTTAAGAAGGTCGAAAACAGGAAAATATGTACATCAGACTAAAATTCTAAATTTGAGCCAGTGTATCCTGAACCTGAGCATTCTGGTCCTAGCATGTAAAAAATACTTCTGGACCTGGTAGTTCCAAGAAATGGCCATCAGATCTATGTAGGGTATCAGACAATCTGCGTCAACCACGAGGATACGTCAGGACATGGTTGCCAATCCACCTTGTCCACAGTTATTCGGCTCCAGCAAACAGCCATGGTATTCTGAGCCACTGGTTGTTCTTCTGTGCCTTGATCATTATGGGCTGGAATTCCATCAATACGTATCTGTGAGACCCATCTTGGTAGATATAGGATACAGTTGCATTGATATTTGAGCAAATTTGGACCCACTCGTTCTTCAGCAAGCCTCTGAAGTGAAGAAGAGCCTTGAAAATGACTCTTAATTCCATACAAATGAAAGGAAATATTGTGCAACATGGTCCAAACACTGTGCAACCAATCTTATAAAAACTGGAATTTGAGCTAATAATTGACCAATGAGGTTCTGTTCACTGGAAACTCAGATCTAATCCCTCTTTCAGCTGCCAGGGTAAGGTGCAACTCCACTGATGGGGACATAGTAAGTGGCTGGCTCCAATAATCTTTCTCTTGTTAGACCAAGATAGGAAGGATCTGTAAGGAATCCAGAGATGCCATTGGGCCCATCTGACAAGTCTGCTGATGGAAGCCAGGATTCCTAGTAGTTGCATCTATTTTCTTGCGGTTACCAGGCAGAAATGAAGAAACTGGGAGAGAAAACCTTTACAATCTGTGGAACTGTTCCCGAGATAGGGAAAAGCAGAGCCTAGAATTTTCCACTCATGGATGTCATCCACTGAGCTGGTCTGAAACTGCTTTTCTTGATATTCATCAAGCAGCCAAACTTTAGGAGTTATGAAAGAACTATATACCTATGTGTGCCTGCCTTCTGAGGGTCTAAGGCTATCAGCAGTAGATCCTCCAGATAATGGAACCAGGTGGAGTTCTAGACTCTCAATAACATTATAAGCACATAGAAAGATTCTTGGGGCCGCATTGAGGCCAAATGGTAGGGCACTAACATGGAAGTTCTCTTCTGAGCTAATGCCGAAGATCTCTGCAGATTGGACTGAAAGTAAGCATCCTTGAGATATATAGAGGTAAGGAAATTATCCTTCAAGATTGCTTGAGATATGGATCTGATTGACTCCATCCCAAAGACTAACATTCAGCCTCTTGTTGGCCCCTCTTAGGTCCAGTGTAGGCTTTCATGTGCTTTTCCTCTTAGCACCAGAAGAGAGGCGAAACTTGTCCCTGGAACTGCTCTTGTTCTGGGACCTAAAAAAAAAAATCACCTCTTCGTCCAGAAGGCTTCTTCCTTCAGTGCTTTACCTTTGGATTCATTGGTCTTAATACTGTTGGTATGGAGACTCCTGTGCCTGTTAAGAAAAAACTCCAGTCTATATCAATCTGGACCATAGATACCACTCAAGCCTCCAGAGTATGACGAGCCCAGGTATGCGTGATCAGAAAAATGAGGCTCCTAGTACTGGAGGAGATATTTTCATTGCTGAAGAGCAAAACAACTGTGTTCTAGCTCCATTAGAACCTTGAAAGGCAGGTTTTCCAACTGCCATGAGTTACCTCTGGAGTATTCCCTTCAGGGCCAGTAGCTCCCTGTATCTCAGAAATACTAATCACTGGAGGTTCTCCAGTCAGACTATGAGGAGCTGGGATCCTTGGAACTTCCATCTTAAGGTACCAATATCTTGCAGCCCTCATTTGCCTTTTCAATGGAATTATCCAAAGTTTTCCTAAACAGCACCACCCCTTCAAATAGAATGGTGTAGAGGGCAGACTTGGAGGATGAGTCATCATCCCAGAAACAGAACCATAATGCTTTCTTAGCTGCTATAGATAAAGCCATTTGATCCAAAGGATATCCTAGTTACATCTAGGGAAGTTTCTGTGAAGAAGTCAGTTGTAACCTAAAGACTTCAGACTGCCTCTTCAATCTTGGCTTTTAATATCTCGCTCCATAGTAGCCTTTAGATCTTTAATCACATATTTCATGTTTGTAAAAACAGCAGCGGAAATCACAGCTGGCTGGCCTCCTGCAATGGTAGGCGTAAAATTTTGGACAGGTCTGCGTCCACCTATGATCCATAAGTGTGCAACTTAGGTGGTGTAGTTCTGGGGTTGGAAATAACTTCCTCCACAGGTTAAAGCCTGGCCTCTTTTCTTACCCCTAAGGCCTCTGGAACTTACTTTGTAAGCCCTGCCCGCATGTCATGTGGCTGCACAGTGATAGGTCACGCTGAAGCGACAACCTTCTGGAGGAAGTCAGTACATAACCGATTCCATCCACTGTTTTCTCCTCATAACCAGATCCTGGTGAAGAATCAGACACCTGACAAATAATAACTAAATATTACCTGTGGTAAAGTATTAAGCAAAAAATGTGCACTGTTAAATTCTATAAGAAACCAGCGGAACCGCTTTAAAACAGGCTAAAGACAGCACTTATCCATGTCTGGAGACCCTGCAAATACTTACCAAATAAGTGTGGTATGTTTACTGTAATTTTCCCTTTATTTTAGGCACTTTCTGGCAATTGCCCTTATCCAAGATGGCTGCCACAACTTGTATTCCCACAATGCAAGTCATCTGTATTAGGCCCAATAAGGCACAAACTGCACACATGTGGGCCTATTCCGAGTGTGTTTGCTGTTTAGAGACCAGGGAGAGGACTCTGTCTGAAGCCTACATGGCCCCTAAACACCCAGGGAACCGGGAATAAATCACTGGGACCGAGGGGGAAGCAAAATAGATAACAAAAGTGCCTGCAAGGAAGTTTAAAAGGCAACCATGTGCAAACAGTCAAAGTTTACAGGCACCACAGTCTAAAGGCCTCAAGGTATAAAAGGTAACAGTTTTCAAATCTAACAGTTTCCAAAATGTAACAGTATTTAAAATATATCAGTCTTCAAATGCACTGCAGTTTTCCAATGCACTGTGGTTTCCAATGACTTGCGGTATTACATGCAACAGTCTTAAATGCAAATTTAAATGAAACAGTTTTAAATGCCACACAGCTTAAATGCCACACGGCTTAAATGCTTCCTAGCAAAAGCACAACCGCATAATGTACCACAATCTTAAAAATAAGGTACAGCTGTACAATGCACTTGTTTAACCCTTTAAAGATACACATGACATGTGACATGTCATGATTCCCTTTTATTCCAGAAGTTTGGTCCTTAAGGGGTTAAAGATATCAAAGCTTAAATGCATCACAGCATAAAAGCACAACTGCATAATGTACTACAGTAAAACAGCAAATAAAGTAATGAAAATAAAACATACGTGTCCGTAAGTAAAGGGAGCAAATTGCTCACGTCCTAAGGGCTGTAGGACAGGAAAAAGACTGAGGACCTTAGGGATGGAGCCTCCTTTTAAAACCTTGGTGGTTTTCCTGTCCTATCGGCTGTAGGGGAGGAGCTAACCCATGTGTATATGCTGCCATGATTAGCCAGGAAATATATATATATATATTTATATATATATATATATATATATGTGTATTAGTGGTCAATGTACACATAGTTTGATTACAACTATGTATTTATGAACACATGTACTATATTTTTAATTATGATGCTATTAAGGAAATAAAAATGGACCAATGCTCATTCAACATGTGGTTTCACATTTATTCATTTAAATACATGCATACATTAACATTTATAACATCCATGTATATTTATGATTGATTTTTTTCTCTACTCATTTTTTTCTCTACTCATTTTTAAATATTTGTTTAAATTTTTTGTTTTGATTTGATCCTATTTTTACTCTTCTTTCTTTTCACTCCCTTTTTCCCCCACCAGTCCTATTTATATTTTCGCTTGAGTGAGTAGTATTTTTATGTTAGGGGTCAGCTGGGGGGTAGGCAGATTTGTACACACGGTCTGCATTGGTTTGAATGCTCTGGTTTGTAGAGCGTTCATAATGCGGCTGTGTAGAGGGTCAATAAAGTTATCCTGCGTTCCAGCGTGGTCGCGCATGCGCGTGTCGGTCACACGTGCGTCATGACGTATGACGGCGTGCGTGACGGGGCGCGCACATGCGTGATCACGGAAGCTGTCGGATGGACCGGCAGATTTAAAAGGGGAGAAGACTGTGAAGAGAGAAGAAGCTCCTGAGGAAGTCAGATGACGAAACGCATTGAGCACGATCTGGGACCCAGATGTACTTTGGTATCAGCTGTTTTTATCTTGCACGTGCGCTGATTTTATATACTGCTTATGCAGTATTTACTTTGGGCTGATTGTACTAAACTTGTATAAGCGATTGGCTTAATGCACTTTTCTTATAGGCATCTTGCACTTTAGCACTTGCACTTTACTGCCCAGCTCAGTATCATGTCCTGTTAAACTGCTATACCTAAGGGTTCCTTGTCCATTGTGGCTTTTATACTCTTGATGTCTTGCACATATGTTGTGCTGTGACAGTTTTTTTACATTTCTTTATTAATAAACTTTTGCTGTTTTTGCTTTACCATCAATATTTCTTTTCATACCCTTATTTTTATATACCAATATGGTGATTGTGGCGCCCTGTTCTTTCTAGTGTTTTGTTTTTGGTAATTGGAGTTGGAGTGTCCTCTATATTGCCTGCACTTGGTTTTCTGTTACTGTCCACCCACCCACCTTTCCATTACTTTCTAAATGGAAAATATCCTTGGTATTTCCTTTACATACAATATTGCTACAAAGAAACAAAAAAGAGCGTAGAGCAACGAGCATAAGTCTATCATCTCGAAGTGGGTGAAAATCCAGAAATGTAATTCAGCCCGTTATGTTTTGCAGTGTTTTCAAACTAAGTGATCCCTTAAGATACTATGAAATAAGCTAGAAAATAAAACAGTCTCAGGAATCCTCCTGTGTAATGTGGTTGCTTACTGTACTGTGCTGGGAATGGGTCCTGTGCAGTGTGCTCTTCTCTCTGCTTCAGCATCTCTCCGGTTTGTGCGCGTAGATTGAAACCTGAGGATCGTGGTATGGGCACTCAGATAGTCCAAGGACGTAATGCTGTTGGTGTTCACTGTGTTCTCGCTCCTACTTGTTTCATGCGCTCTGCACTCACTTCCTCAGGGAGACACTGTTAAACACCTCATGAATGGGGCCAATTATAAATAAGTGTTAATTCTTGTCTTTCTTTTTCTGGGAGCCCTGTAAAGCTGTCTAAAGATACTGGCTCCATATTTGTTTAAGGTTATTATGTTTTTTAACTCCATATACTTTAAACGAGATTGGTACAATAAAAATAGAAGAAGGTTTATAAAAAATTTGAAAGAAATAAAGTGAATCTTATATGTAAATATAATAACCATAGAAACCATGAGAACAAGGTAATGAGTGAAAGAGATATAGATGTATCTTTTTAACTTTAGTATCCGTTAATGATTTATTTCATGATGTATACATAATGATAGTTTTTATCTAGTATATGGAGCACTGTGAATGAAAACTAAAAAGTAGACTAATAATAAAAATAAACAAAAATAAATGAAAAAAAATTAAAATAAGCTTGAACATAAAAAAAGTGAAAGGAATATGAAGTAAAATCAGAATACCAACAAAATAAGTATAAATTCTTAAGATTTAACCTTATATAAAGGAATAAGGTATCATCTATATTGCATTTTATATCACTTATTTTTGCACTTTGAATTGTGAATTATAGTAAGAATTTAACTCAAGAAGACTAAAAGGGATAAGAGGGGGTAAGTGATATAGTTTTTTTCAAAAGATATTAGAAAATTCATGGGTGAAATATAGATAGTTGTCAGTAAAGATATAATATACTTTACCACATAAGTGTTGATATATACATATTGAAATAATTTAACTAACAAGGGAAATGATATATATAATTCTAAAATATAAATAATTTCACTGGTGAAAGATGAAAATTAGAAAAGAGATGCACCTCTTTTTTTCCCCCCCTTTTTCTTTTAAGTGTACTTCAGAACTGGGGACTCTCTTCTTCGTCCTATAAACCTCTTCTCTGTAAGCTTTTTACAGGGTTTATCAAGTGGGAAAAACCTAGACTTTCTCCCAACCTAATTGATAGAGAAGGATATTAATCCTTCCTTTGTCTTTTCTTTATTTTATTTTTTTTAGTTGAATAGATTTTGTTATTTTTACTCCTGTGTTTGTTATTTCTGTTATTTGTGTAAGGATTGACATGTGGCCAACCTGGGAGAATTAAATGTAATGGCATCACTTAAGCTGGTCTCTTGGAATGTCTAAGGTTTGAATTCCCCTCAAAAAAGGGGTTTGGTTTACAAATTCTTAAACGAGAATAATATCAACATCACCTTTATTCAGGAAACTCACTGGATTTACTCTCCACATAGATTATGGACATTCAAGAAATATCCGAAAGTTTATAACACAAAATGGAAGGGAAACAGAAATCTCTAACAAAGCTAAATTTGAGTATGTGCATTCACTCAGCGATATTAATGGTAGATATGTAATACTTATTTAAAAAATTAACAATGCTTTCTATACATTTGTCAATATATATGCTCCCAATTATAGTCCAGTGAGTTTCCTGAATAGGATGGTTGGTAGGGCTGATGATCTTGCATGTGGCAATGTGGTCTTTGGGGGAGATTTTAACTGTGTTGTAGATTCCAAAGAGGATAAAAGCTGTAAATATATGACAAAAAAATAATTTTTTAAAATCTGACTTTTTGGAATTCTCTGATTTCTTGAGTGGCTTAAAAGGGCAGCTAATTGGCATATCGGGATATTCTGTAGGTGCCATGGTTTCCCCATGTATACAAGGACATGTGTGAGGCATATGCTGGGTGGTGATACTTGAGATCTAGCTTCTGATAATGCCAATTGAATGAAAAAAAAGAAATGTACCCTTGGGACAGAATTTCTTGCCAAAGCATGGCTGGATTGTGCTGGGTGTTGGGGTGGAGGTGTAACAGGGGTAAACTGACAAGGAGCTAAAAGAAAAATCAAAAACATAAACCAAAGTATATACAATAAAGCCCGATCTTATGGCATGGCTTACCCCTCTAATAGAAGGCGTACAGCAGATTGCTTACAAAGAACCTCCCTAACACTATCCATATGGATCAAAAAATTTAACTTATGCAATGCTCCTTCTGTATATGGGCAAGCGCTGACAGACTTCGAATGCATGTATGTAGGCCTTAAGCCTTCCAAAAAACTAATTTCCACAATTTATGCAGCCCTACCCCCAAAACTAAAATTAACGATGGTAGTACCATTTAAAATTTGGGATGATCATACCCCCTTCTCGGGTGAAACAATAAATAATTGTTAGAGCTATGCGGGGTCTTTTCCCATTCCATACAAACTTAGATACCCAGTGTCGCAATGTGTTAAAGTACATGGGAGGAACCTGTATTGGTAATGAGTGGAACAAGTATTGCAGTTTTGGAAGTATTATCATTTTTGTAACTGCAATTCGCCCAGTCCATGAGATGAACATACGCCTCCATTCCTGTAATTGTAGTTTGATTTCTCCTAAGAGTTTGCCGTAGTTGGAAGAGATTGGCAAGTTTCTTTGGGAATGCTATTCCTAAAAAGGTGATGTGGTCTGTTCGCCAGTCATAATTATATGTTTGTTACAGTGTCCGCAAGTTGTCTGGTGGGATTCCTTTACCCAATGCCTGGGTCTTGGATACATTCAGTTTATAGAAGGGAACTAATATTGACTATCTGGGTATTAAAATCACCTTTGATATACCCAAGTCGATACAAAATAATTATGAAACTTTATTAAAGAAATGTCAAACACAAATAAAAAAAATGGGAAAAGATTTCCTAGGCAGATTAAATATGGTAAAAGCGTTTCTTCTGCCAAAACTACTCTTTTGTTTTAGAGTTTCCCATATAGTGTAGGAAAGGTGGTTCCTGGACAGTTTCAGAAAAATATACCAAAATATCCCCCCAAAAAATTATACAAAAGGGGGTATATCTTTTCCACGTTTTTAAACTTCATGAAGCCAGTGCGCTATCCCATTTATCTATGTGGTTAAATTTAGAAATTGAAAAACACTCTTGGTATACTTTGGAACAGGAGGATAGTCCTAGTTGTAAACTAAATATTTTATTTTGAATTGGAATACTAAATCTGGGGAAAATAGACATAAATATTGTGACGAGACCAATCTCGCCACATTGCATTGGAGAAGCCTGGTTGCTCGCCTGCTGCCCTTGGACTATGGCCCCCTTTTAAAAGACTTTATTTTTGCCTGCAGAAAAGCTGTATTCGTGCTTTTCTGCCTGGGGTTCAGTAGATTTGTTTGAATGTGTTATACCCCAGATAGGAATCACATGGAGCCCATTTGTATGAAACTGACTGTAAAGACTTTAGCTCCATGGCGATTAAACTGTATTCGTGTGGTCTGAGCGCCATTCACTTAATAATGTGCGCTCGGACCTGAGCTATCTGGGGATATGTGAAATGTCTGTGTGTTATGTGTAAAATGTGACTTTATGTATTTTAAAGTGTTTTGTGTCTTTTGCAACCATGTGCTTAATGGAGTCTTGTGTCTGTCCTGGGAGATAATTGAATTACTTATCTCCAGGATAGAAGACTCTGAAACTGGTTTGGGCCAGAAAGCCATGCTTCATTTAGTCACAAATGACTTTTTACTAACTTTTGAACCCCTTGTCTGATTTGTACCATTTTTGAATATGTTGTTCCCCTGAATGGATTGATTGAGAATATGTAATTTTATGTGAATGTGATGTATGGTTTTGGAGTTATGAAAGTTGGGTAGAAAGTATGTTTTAACTGTTTGTTTGTATAATTGAGTTTCCTCTCAGGACAAGGGGAGGGAATATGTGGGATGTAACTGTGATATGATTGGTTGTTTTATACCTCCCTGTGGGTGGTCCTGTATTTGCAAGACTGTAATAAAAACCAGGCTGGGTGTGCCAGCACCTCAGACCACTGCTTGACCCTCAACACGGAGCCTTGTCTCGTTCTTGTGGGGATTCACTGTATGCTGTTAGAGACTGATTGCCAGGAGTGTAAGCTGACTGTCTGCTTTTCCTGTTCGTCTGCTAGCAGCTATTTGGGAGGTTCCAGTTCGGAAGTTGGAGTGCTATTTTGTATCCAGTTTGGGAGTTTGATGTTCTGCAGTAGCTGTGCCTGTATCTCTGGAAAGGGGGCCGATCGCCTAAACGGTTTTTTCCCCTTTTGTGCAAAACGGTCCGTTACAATTGGTGGCAAGCGGCGGGATCGTTCCCACAGACTACAGGACAGCTACAGGAGACACCATTCCGTGGATTTACAATTTGAGGGCAACGCATGTCTGAGTACAGCGACCCTGACAGCAACAGCATGGAACCAGCAGTGTCATACGAGGAGGAAGACCTGGATGGCCGGGATGCATTAAGGAAAGGCATCTGGTACCAGGCCCTGGATAATGTACAGTACCAGCGGGGTGAGAGTCTCCCCAGTGAAGAGCAGCGGTTGCAGAAGCAAGTGGCCCTGCGGATGCCCTTCCTGGCAGAGCAGCCCCTAGATGAATGGGTGAAGGAACTGGAGCACCGGGTATGGCAGGAAATTTGGCTGGAAGATGCATACCAGGCGCTCTGGTGGTATGGGGCACAGTACCTGCCCTGGACAGCCGAGCATGACAAGCCAGAGGGAGAGGAGTTTGATGGTCCTGGCTTGTTATGGGAGGCTTTTTCAGAGCCTGAATTTGGGAGCCCTACACAAGCCCGGTTCAGTGATCTCTTGGAGTGGAGGGAGAGCAGGTATGACTGGGACGACACTCACGATATTGAGCAAGACCTGGCTCACCTAGCAACCCTGGAGTGGGAACTGGAGCAGGACTACCGAGATCTCTTCCACTCCATTGAGAAGATTCAGCAGGACAGCAAGGTGACAGATCCAGTTCCAGACCCATTCAGCTGGGAAGACATTGTGGATATTTTCTGGGAAGAACCCCAGGTGGCCGGTAGAGATGGGACCGAGGTCTCTCCACCGGTCCTGCAGGGAATTGGGAGCCCAGTCTCCATTCCCCAGTGGCCGTGTGATTTATTGGGAATTGGGAGCCCAGTCTCCATTCCCCAGCGGCAGTGTAAAGTGCAGGGAGAGGAGAGCAGTATCCTCCCTCCCCAGCGGTAGACTGAGTTACAGGGGGCAGAGGTAGTTGTTCCTGCCCCCCAGCAGCAGAGTGATATGCCGGGAAGGCAGTGTGAAGTGCAGGGAGAGGAGAGCAGTGTCCTCCCTCCCCAGCGGCAGGCTGAGTTACAGGGGGCAGAGGTAGTTGTTCCTGCCCTCCAGCAGCCAAGTGATATGCCGGGAAGGCAGTGTGAAGTGCAGGGAGAGGAGAGCAGTGTCCTCCCTCCCCAGCGGCAGCGTGATTTTTGGGGAATTGGGAGCCCAGTCTCCATTCCCCAGCGGCAGTATGATGTTTTGGGAATTGGGAGCCCAGTCTCCATTCACCAGCGGCAGTATGATGTTTTGGGAATTGGGAGCCCAGTCTCCATTCCCCAGCGGCAGCACAGATTATTGGGAATTGGGAGCCCCGTCTCCATTCCCCAGCGGCAGAGTGTCCTACCGGGAATAAAGAGCCCAGTCTCCTTTCCCCAGCAGCAGGACTCTGTATTGGGAGCAGAGACAGTCGGTCTCCCTCCCCCGCAGCTGGAAGTATGTATGGGAGAGGAGCCTGTTATCCCCTCTCCCCAGCGGCAGCTTAATATACCAGGGGGAGACAGTAAGCCCCACAACTGTGCAGATGGGACCGTAGTCTCTACACTGCCAGCACAGGGGGTAGGGACGGTCGGTCCTGCCCCCAGCGACAGGGCTGTTTAGCCAAAGGGGAGACAGTCGGTCTCCCCCTCCAGCAGCAGAGATGGGTAACCAAAGGGGAGACGGTCGGTCTCCAGCAGCAGGACTGTGCATCTAAAGGGGAGACAGTCAGTCTCCAGCAGCCGAGCGGTGTATTTAAAGGGGAGACAGTCGGTCTCCCCCTCCAACAACCAGGCTTCAACCAGGCTACCCTCCCAGTAGCGCTGGCAACAGGGCAGAGTGCCGCTGGTCTCTGCCCACGCAGCAACCCACCAAGTCAGCGTACCCGTACCCAGCACAGCCGTGGTGAGGCACCTGGACATGGACAAGCTTCTCCTTTACCCAGGTGTAGTAACCATTTATTGTGGGTGGGCTGTGCTGTTGATTATTTGTTGTGGGTGGGCTGCTGGACTAACAAGGGCACTGACCGGCAGGAGGTCAGATACCCTGTTAGTCTGTTTGGAAAAGGGGAGAGATGTGACGAGACCAATCTCGCCACATTGCATTGGAGAAGCCTGGTTGCTCGCCTGCTGCCTTTGGACTATGGCCCCCCTTTAAAAGACTTTATTTTTGCCTGCAGAAAAGCTGTATTCGTGCTTTTCTGCCTGGGGTTCAGTAGATTTGTTTGAATGTGTTATACCCCAGATAGGAATCCCATGGAGCCCATTTGTATGAAACTGACTGTAAAGACTTTGGCTCCATGGCGATTAAACTGTATTCGTGTGGTCTGAGCGCCATTCACTTAATAATGTGCGCTCAGACCTGAGCTATCTGGGGATATGTTACATGTCTGTGTTTTATGTAATGAATGTGACTTTATGTATTTTAAAGTGTTTTGTGTCTTTTTGCAACCATGTGCTTAATGGAGTCTTGTGTCTGTCCTGGGAAATAATTGAATTACTCTCCAGGATAGAAGACTCTGAAACTGGTTTGGGCCAGAAAGCCATGCTTCATTTAGTCACAAAGGACTTTTTACTAACTTTTGAACCCCTTGTCTGATTCATGTCATTTTTTAATATGTTGTTCCCCTGAATGGATTGATTGTGAATATGTAATTTTATGTGAATGTGATGTATGGTTTTAGAGTTATGAAAGTTGGGTAGAAAGTATGTTTTAACTGTATGTGTAATTGAGTTTCCTTTCTCAGGATAAGGGGAGGGAATATGTGGGATGTAACTGTGATGTGATTGGTTGTTTTATACCTCCCTGTGGGCGGTCCTGTATTTGCAAGACTGTAATAAAAACCAGGCTGGGTGTGCCAGCACCTCAGACCACTGCTTGACCCTCAACACGAAGCCTTGTCTCGTTCTTGGGGGGATTCACTGTATGCTGTTAGAGACTGATTGCCAGGAGTGTAAGCTGATTGTCTGCTTTTCCTGTTCGTCTGCTAGCAGCTATTTGGGAGGTTCCAGTTCGGGAGTTGGAGTGCTATTTTGTATCCAGTTTGGGAGTTTGATGTTCTGCAGTAGCTGTGCCTGTATCTCTGGAAAGGGGGCCGATCGCCTAAACGGTTTTTACCCCTTGTGTGCAAAACGGTCCGTTACAAATATATTTTCCAACAAAATTCTTATTGATATGCTACATACCTCTAGAATTGTAAGTAAAAAGTAAAATTTGCAGGATAAGTTAGTTCGAAACATTCCTTTGGAGACCTTATAATATGTGATGGAAGTTATTAATGTACAGAAATGGATTCAACACAGCACAACTGGGATTTTGGACTTAGTGTGTAAGAACAATCTTATTCCTTTTGTTCAATTACAGGCAAACCACAAACTTCCTTTTAAGGAACTTTTTCAATATTTAAGAATTATATTATGTCTAAAACATTACTTCATAATCATATTATGGACTCTTTTTCAACTCTGATTAAAAGTAAGGGGCTGATTTCTAGATCTTTTAAACTACTCAACTCAATTGAACAAGTATCTCAGAGTATAAATTATTGGATATAATTTATTTGCACTTTAAGTAATAAATATATTGTATTTGCACTTTATTCACTATTGTCTGACCAATATTTGTTTATAGACTGTTTTAATTGATGAATTAGCACTTAAAGGCACAGCGCACTTTTTTCTTTTTCTGTGTATACTCAACTCAATTGAACAAGTATCTCAGATAGCCCCATATGTAAAATGGGAACAGGATCTTGATAAAAGCATTCCTGCTTTTTGATTGAACTCAAGCTACATTAGTGAAACGTACTATCACCTGTGTGTCCCTTTTTTAACTACTTCTAAAATCAGTCTATAGATGGTACATGGTTCCAGCTAGAATGCATAAGATCTCATCAGTCCACTTAAGAGACTGCTGGAGATGTGGCCAGGAAACTGGAACTATGTACCATATATGATGGGAATGTATAGGTCTGAGGAGTATAAAAACTCAAATGATTAATTTAATCAATTCCCTATTTCTGGAAATCATTGATATTACCCATCAATTTCCATTCTGAAATAAAATACAAAGATACATACTTACCCATATATTGTTTGCAGTTAAAATATGTATAGCCAGGGCTTGGAAAAAAAACAACTCCTATACCATGGTGGGAGATAATAGATTAACTAGATTTTCATTATAAGATGGAGTATAACTTTGTTTGCAGTTGGACATCTTATTCAAAATTGGACAACATATAGAGATAGCTACTATAAATATCCCAGCAGAGATTTGGTCCCATGTCGAGTTCCTATTATTGGTTTTGACAAACAAGAAAGAGAGAAAACGTATTAATTTTATATAACTTGCTAAATATGAATGTTAAACATTTAATATCCTCATATTTTGTCTCTGACTTTTGTATGTCTTGTGTTTGTGTTTAAGTCTGCTGTTATCACTTTTTGGAGCAAACTAACATATACTAAATATGATTTTGTCTGTCTATAATAATGATGCCAATATATATATATATATATATATATAAAAAGGGAGTGAAGGACACACTTCAAAATACATGTTTTAGTTTTGGTGTTGCTGTGCAAAATGTATATAAATTTCCAAGGGGGAATTTAGGGTCTGAAGTCCCAGATGTGGGACTGTTCAGCCCTGATTCTCTTTGGAGTATAGTTTAAGTCTAAAGAAGCCGCGCATGCACAGCCAGTGGGGGAGAGAGGGGAGGAGCGAAGGTGAACCCAGCCAGCGGGGGAGACAGGGGAGGAGGGAAGGTGGACCCAAGCCAGCACCGAGGGACATCTGTACTGGACTGAGGTAAGTGAAAGAAGGGGTTTTTAAGCCTTTCAGCACCAAGTTGTGGGGGCCCAAGAGAGGGAGAAGCTAGAGTGCCAGGAATACAACTTTATTTTTCTGGCACTATAGTTTCCCTTTAATTTTTGCATCACTTTTTAGATAAATTGTCCCAGAAGAGCATCTGTTTAATGAATAAAAAAGAAAAAAACAACAACTACCGTTTCAACCTTGGACTTCAAACAAAAGTCTTCAAGACTGGTAGATACATTTCTAGGCTAGCAGTTTCTACAATCTTTGTTTTGGTTATACTTGCAATTTCCAGGTGTTTTAACAATTGTAAGTGCAATGATTTTACTGTCGGCAACACGCTGGCGGTCAAAGTAGTGAACATAGTGGATGCGTAAAAACAATAACGGTAACTATCTGTCACATTTCTAAATGATAATGTGTAACCTTGCTCAGTTGTGATAGAAACAAGTCATCTATTTGTGAAACAAAGGTTTGGAATTTGGAACCTGTGACCTTCTACTACTTACGTGGCGACAGGTGTCAGTGTCAACTACAGAGGTGTCGGGTCTGGCCCAGTATTTGCATACTTCCTCTAAGGGATGTGTTCACAGATAGTGAAGCACTGGTTCCTTGGAATGGATTTGCGGGTTACTTTTTTAAGTGGGGGAGGGTGACAAGAAAAATGGAGGCAGTAAGAAAAGGGCAAAATACAAAAGAAAGAAAGAAGACAGAAAAAGCAGTAGAAGAAAAAAGAAGATAAAAAAGGGGGTATTAGAGTTAGGAGGTGGTCAGGCATTGCGAAAAGTGGAGGGAACACCAGCGTGGCGTTAATCGGTGGATTATCCGTTCGGAGAGAGCTAAGTGTGGTCCTCCGTGATACAGTAGGTATGGAATTTTCCCTTCTGCTTGTGTTCTCTCCATGTGTATCCAGTGTTCGCAATTCTGAGCAGGTGGGTCACTCTGTAGAACTTAAGAATGGAAGGGAGACCAGTGCCTCCTGGCTAGCAGTTTTACCTATGACTCATTATTATGCATTTTGAATTGTTTAATTACATGATTATTTATAGAAAGTCTAATTGTTTGACAGGATTACAAACAGTGAGTAATAAACATGACATCTAAAATGTGTTCTAAAATAGCCAAGCTGCGGCGGCTAGGGGGTTGAAGCACTTATGTGTCCAGTTGGAGAGTTAGGAAGAGAGCATGACGGAGGTACTCAGTCTGGGTGCCTAACGGTCTGTCACGGTCTCTATTTGCTTTACTTGCTGTTCATTAGTGAATAATTGTGCCTGAAATATAAAGGATCTTTTGTTAAACTTCTTCAGTGGATATATATTTTCTCATATCATATTATCCACTTACTAACTCTTTGACGGCAGGATTCCAATGGCTGTCAACCCTTTTTTACTCAAATCACTTTACTGACATCAGATTAAAATATTATTTTCCTTTGTTTTTACTTTTAGACAACAGAAATCTATACAGAGAACCCCTCAGTAAGTATTATAATATTATTAACTTTGCTCTGTCACAATTTGAAAAGAAGGGCAATGTGGATTTCCTTAACTTTATCTCCAGCTACTTTGGAGTCATGTTTGTCAATGTGTTATTCATTTTGGTTTTTAATAAAATATGTTTTATTATAAAGCACGGCTCTTTGTACTGTCCTTTGCACAGGTTTGACAAGATCTGAACATCATACCAAAGTTTCAGTGATTGGCATGGAGTTAAGATCCAGGAGATTGCTAAATACATCCCTGTGGATTTCTACATTTAATGTTTTTTCAGACTTCAGAAACACATATTTGTTAAAAATAGAGAATATGTAAAAAAATGGAAAATCCTCAGCTGTGACAAAGTCCCTTTTGCAGTCAAACAAATATACACAAACACACATACACACACACACACACTAGACACCAGTGAACAAAAAGCAAAATTGCACGTATATTGTATAAAAAGCCTGTCAATGCTAGCCAAAGATCATGGACCTCAGGTCCTTGATACTCGGGTCTACGGGACTTCTTGTTCTCAGGGGGACTATTTTTAAGCACATTAAACAATGCATATATGACATATATATGACAAATAAAAATCATGTGTTCTTTATTATCAATCCAACACATACATATAGTGTACAAAATTACTATAGAATATTACAAGTTTCTAATTATAGACTTAAATATATACCCATGAATATATACATGGTAACATAATCAGCCATCCAGAATATAAATTGTATCCAGTAATCCAATGTTACAAAAAAATAATTCAAAAAATAATTATGCATGTATACAATGGATTACATATCAGTCACCAAAATAAAAATGTCACCAAACCTTTTGGCCCAAGGCCTTTATTAAGGGAGGGCATTTTATTTTGGTATTGGCCGGATTCTCCTCTCTTCCCATACAGTAATTTAATGTTATACAAAACGATCGCTCAAAAACAATTATGCATATATCAAGTGGATTATATGCCAGTCACCAGAAAATTAATAAGAAGAGTGGGGAGTCCAACCAATACCAAGATAAAAATGTAATCTCTTGATAAAAGTCTTGGATTAAAATATTGGGGTGAGGGAGTTGGATTTAAATTTTTATGTGTTAGATTTGTAATATATATAATATGATTTTTATTTGGTGTGCTCCTATGTCATATTTGGATGAGTAGTCTTTGCCCTGAGGAAAGTATGTTCTGCTTACTATAACACTTATTTATTCATTTACATATATTTCCTGTTTTTATCATGCCAAAGTATTTTTAACATTGCTATCCTTGTGAGGGTTATTAATCCTTTTTTTTTTTTAGTTAACAGCAAACCATTGTATTAACTCTAAATGAGAAGAATTTGCTAATATTCTAATTCTTCTTTTAGACAACAGGGTCCCATACAGAATTCCAGACGGTGAGTTTTAAAAAAAAAATATTAAATAATACTTTGCATTTGTCACTCTGAGAAAGAAATAATTAGCTGACATAATCAGGCAAAATGGAAATACGGTGCAATACACCACACCGTAGAGACACGTGAGACTATGGGATATTTGAGAGCATCACAATTGATAGAGTGCATATTTACGTTGGAAGTATAATTTTAAATTAAATATCAGTGCCTAAAATGTTCGTGTGACTGCTAGTTTATTTTTCTGGCAACTTACATACTGCTTAGGAGCAGTTGTTGAGGTCATTTGGAGGATTAATGCTGTGTGAGGATAGTGGTGACATGTAGAGAAATATAAAACTCAGGCTATATTCAGGCTATCACATATTTTTTTTTAATAACAAAAAAATAAAAATCTAGCATTTAACCCTAAAATGGAAACCTGTCCCTAAATGTCATATGATGCCACATAACCTATAAATTAGACTTGTGTATTCATTTTCAAACAAATTGCGATACATCCGAATTTTGGGCTGCCAGTGAATTATCTGAATTCCGTAACTCTGGACTACAGTATGATCAAATCATGGAACAAACAAAATGGACAATGGATGAGCTGTTTGAGTCATAATTTAGAATTCTGTATCTGGCGCCAAAAAAATAAATGATTGCTGGGAAATAAAATGATTGGTTATTGGGGGACAGCCACTAAATGTTGATTTTATTCACAAATCAAGTGAGAAGTGACCAATAGAGGCATTAAAAAGAGGTGCGGTAAAAAAAAAAAATTGATTTTTTTTCTTTTTACTGCTCCTCTTTTCCCCCCCTGTAATGGTTATCTCTTCTCATTTGATCTGTGATCAAAATGACAGGAAAATTGTTCTATCGATCTACTACAAAATATATACAAAATATTTATATTTTGCACTACACTGATTTTTGCACTGTTTGTCCAAAACAATTGTGTAATACTATAAATAAATGTTAAAACTGCACCAATATAAATGGGACTCAAAAGATGTAGATAATAAGATCGCCTTAGGGTGCCTACCCTTAGATGTATGGAGGGTATAGCCAGAACTCCCTCTCAGCTGTTTGGTGGTACCGCCACAATATGGAAGTCCGGACTCAGGAAATGGTAAAAATAATCTGCTATTACGTTGTACGTGCTGCGTTCTCTTCCTAAATGCTTTTCCTAGACCAGGAGTAGGCAACCTACGGCACTAGTGCCATGCACGGCACTCGAGGTGCCTTTGCACGGCACTCGAGGTGCCTTTGCACGGCACTCAAGGCTACTAGAGCCAAACAGGGTCTGGCCTATCAGAAGTCCCAGTAAAACTTCGGATATCTGCTAATACGAAGAGGTGGTGAAGGACAATCCTCAATTTATGCATTGCAGCATGTAGAGGAAGTGATCTCAGAGCACTTCATTCCAGCACTTGTGAATGGGAATCCACACAGTAGTAGAGCAGCTCACAGTTGTTGTTGCAGCTCCAGTCCTTGACCTGTACCTGGCCAACATGATCTCCACTGGAACCCAGGGAAGCCACCCACACTGCTAGATATACACAGAAATGCAGAAAGACCCTACCCTCATACAAATAATATGGACAACCCACACACAAACATATACACAATCCGCACAAACGCAATACCACTAACAATCCACATACATGCACACAACCCCACATGCAGCCTCTCACATGCAATACCCCAAACAGCCCCCACACATACACACACTACCAAACACACAATGTGACATATCCACACACAATTCCACAAGCAGCCCTCATACACAGCCCACATTTATATGTATCATACACGATACCATAAACTACTAATGAACATATTCAATCTAATAGCTCATATAAACACAAATACAATTATACAAAGCAATTACAGTGTAAATAACACAAGAAGAATACGGCAACATACACACGTCAATTTAAAAAAAAAAAATAGGATCGGCACGCTATGGGACATCACAATCCTATATCGGCACAGTGCTGCTAAAAGTTGCCTACCCCTGTCCTAGACCAAAAAACTAAAATTCTATTAATATTATTCATTAAAACTCCGAATGGCCCCACACCAAACAGGGCAGAACCATCGGTGTTTATGTTATTTAACTAGGTCAAGATTTAACAGACAAGGCCCTGAATGACAAACCAATATTAAACCTCCAAAAGATTATGTGAATGCAATAAATCAATGATACAGTCATCAGCATGCACTGCTACACAAAAATGCAAATAAATAATCAAAATAAACCAAATGAAATATACTTATATATGTGTGTCTTGTATGAGTACTCTTATATTCCAGACGCATCTAAAATATAAACAACCAGGATAGTACAGAGAAACTCTAAAACTTCTAATTATACCTCGCAAAAAATAGACCTCAACTCACTTGGTCCAAAGCCTGAAATTCCAGCTCTGGCAAATCAGGCATAATGAGGGAGGTGAACACCCCACTTATGCCGGGCTCCTCCATCAATGGTACCACTGTAACATTATAATTGTAGATTATGCTAGCTAAACTGTACCTATAATCTTAATTTTATTAATGACAGTAGGTGAATATTTTGCTTTACGTTATTTACTGAACTCCATAGCAGCAAAGAAACAGATGAGAACATAAAGTATGAAACAGAAATAAAATTACATTGCATTAGCATAAAAAATAAAAAAACATCAAAAAAACCCTACAAAAAAAATAGCCTTGAAAGTAGCAGAAGCGTCAAAGTCCATTTTAGAGCTAAATAGGACAATCCACTTCTGAAAAACAAACTGAAACAGAAGAGAAAACACAAAGGGAACAGTGGAAGCATTGTATCCAACTACAGACATCAACATTGTCAAAGGAAAAAAAATATTTCTAAAGTCTAAACAGCAAATCACAAATAACATGTACAATAACAACAATAAGTATAGCATAATCATAAATATATCAAACAATAAAGGGAGGTAGGGAGGGGAATATTTGCCTCCTGTCTTTAATAAAATTAAGATTACGTGTACACTAAAGCTAGCATATTCTACAATTTTATTACATGACAGGAGGCTTCATATTTTGTAGGTTTTAAAAAAGAGGCATAGGAAGAACGTCTAAAGTTAAAGACACAAAACATATCTTCCCTCATCCAATCTGCCAAACCAAGATGTAAACCAGAGAAGCACCGGAAGTAAAGGCTGTAAAAAAACAGCCATGCCAATATGGATGTAAAAAACAGGCTTGCATGAAGTAAATGAGAAACTACCCTGAGCAAAGCAGTAACCTCTATGTACTGAAGGAGAGCAGAAACTACACAAAGCTTTGCAAAATCCTGAAAAAAATACTGCGTAAGAAATACAGAAGAAGAATCTGATTTCACCCTTCACGTAATATTGAAGGTGACCGCATCCAAGGAAAAGTAAAAATCATCTACATTACATACCCAGATGTCATAGTCACAACGGAAAGAGACAACAAAAGTGTGATATTTGTCAAAGAGAGTTCATTGTTGCCTGTCCAAGCTTGAAGGAAATACAGAAGTAAATTCCCATCCCAAAGGTGGGAACACTTAGTGACCAGAAGGTGGGACATCTTTATGCCTCGCAAAAGTTAGCACAAAAAATAAAAGAAAGAAGAAAAAGGAACTTTAGCTATAGACTCTTAAAATGAATCTAATTTAATTGTGCATATAAAGACATTCCCAAAGATGAATCAATGTGAAATCGAATTATCTTTATTTAAGAGACTGGGGATTGTCCAATATCACATATTGCATAACCAACATATTACATGTGTTATTAAATGTAGAGTGGACACAAAATAACTTTACAACTCTTTTTATTTTATAGTCAGATTATGAATCTCACATCTCTCAAAACTCTACAGTAAGTATTGTGCAACTTATCTTAAGGGAAAAATAGTTAAAGAGAGATTTATCCAGAATTAAATGATGTATGGCATAGATTAGTGTTGGAGGGTGTTTGAATAAGACTCCACAGCTATATCCTGGACAAATCAATCGAATAAACAGGATTAAACAAAAAAGAAAGTTGATTTAACACGATTCCAAATGGATAAATTAATTTCCATCTATCCATGTTGCAGCAAGCTAATGACTACTTAACCTAAAGCTAATCATCTTAATCACAATTTTCAAAGTATACAGTTTTTCCAAAACATTACTGCACATAACACTAGCAGGATTATTTGCTAAAGTGATAATTTTGTGGAAGCCAGCAATACTTCCAGTTTAATTGTTTTGGTATAAAATTTGAAATTTACTTTTAATTTCTCTTTAAATTCCTGATATTTTTCACTTTAGTAAATAGCCCTATGATTGTTAGCAGCAATATTTAGACAATAATGGATAATAGGGACACATTCTGTAAGACAGGTATAGTCACATCTAGGCTATTTTGGTGTAAGTTTTTAAATGTGGCCTTTAATTTATTACATTTCCATGTTTATGATATAATAGTTACTTTGAATCGTCTCCTAATTCCATTATGCTGGGTAGATGATTTTGAGGTATCCCACATCATCTATAGATATGTTTACGAATTGTATTGAAATGTATGAACTGTTTAAGGTACTAGCACATGTTAAAGACAATTTCTCATTTGACATGGCCTTTACTTTACATAATTTATCATATGATAATGTTTTTTTTTTTTCTTTCAGGAATCATACTATTCTACGATCCAGAATTTTGTAAGAATTTTTTTATTTACTTTTTATTTTTTTTCAAGCTAAAACAATCACATTATGTGACAAGCATAATAAAAAAAAGATTTAAACATTCCTAAAGAAACAAGTATGACTTCATATATTACTTTTTGTACTAAACTCTTTAAAGTAGCCACAATGAAAAGTAATAGTGTTTGGACATCTACTAGTGGAAGTGCAAATGTAAATTTTCATTGCACTACCTGAGAATATTCTATTTTTTTCTAAATACTTATGTTCAATAATTATTAAATTAAAGAAACAAAACAAACCACAAACAATTTAAAATGTTTCTGTTATGACTATAGTGTTGAGGGAAAGAAATGAGTTAAGATGATAAAATGAATAGAAAAATGTAAAAAAAAGAAAACCAAGAAAACATACACATATAGTACATAAAGATATATAAAGTCAAAGTTATGAACTAAGTAAATTAAAAGTGAAAATAACTGAATTGGAAAAATTCTCCATAGTGGACTTTGGTTCCATTTACATTGAATTCTTGGCAAGTCACATTTTAGCGAGTATGAATGATCTCTTAAAAGATAATTTTGTTGATATACAAAAAGTAGATAAAAAAAAGTTGCATTTCTGATTCTGGTATTGGGCTTGATTTGTGTTATGAACAATTTAGGGATTCTCTTCTATTCTCGTATAACTCAAATGAGTTGTTGTTGAGGCTTTACATGAATCTGAGTTTTTTTTGATGAGTAGATACATTTATTAAACATATAGTAATACTGATACTATTGGAGAGTTACCAAGGAACTCCACTGGTGCATTCTAAGACTTTATAGTTGGCAGTGTAGAAGAGATGTGGACCATCCCAACATCAAAACAAAACTATATCTGGCTAATCTACTATTTGGTTGGGAATTGGACATCTCAAGATAACAGTCTGTTCTTGGGCAAACATTTTTTACAAACCACAACATCCAGTAAGTCTTGGGTCTGGCTATTTAAACATAGCAACACCTGCAGGCAAAATACACACTGAGACAGGTGTGTGTAAGAGGAAAGACAACATGCATGTATACCCCCAACTTCCCTCACTCTTAACCCCCCCACTCCGCATCAATCGTCTCTGAAAGTAATGCAGAAACAGTTCATGAGGACAGCTCAAATATGGATAGAAACATGAACATGATTATGTCAGGTAAAGAGCAATTCTATACTCACAACAAGCTTTTATATTATACAAACTAAGAAGCAAATTAGACAGAGACATTCATTACTTGCAGATCTCTCATTGATGGGGTTCAGGAAATACTTTGGTATGAACCCTTTCAAGGAACTTTAACACTATGTGATTTGGTTAGGGAGATCTGACACAGTACATATCCCTTTCAACTTGTAAGAGGTAGAACTGGGAAGATGAGATATCATATATCTTCCTAACATTCTAAGAAACCATGATGCTGAGAAAAGGGGTATGCCCCATTGTTACAACATTGTCCCCCTGGACACTAAAAAAGCCACTCCCATGCACTCAAAAGGTAGCCAAATAGGTTGGCTTATAAAATTAATATTTTTGATCTGTGATAATTTTTATTGAAGAATTCCAAAAAACAATAGAAGAAAACATTGGTAACATAACATTGTAGAGAATGTAATTAACTGTAAAACTATGTAGCCAATAATAGGGGTCTAATTCCTAAGACCTATTGACATATACATTTTGATATCTAATACAGTATATGGGAAGAATAACATATAGAAAACAAGTAAGCAATATTAAGGATTAAATCCCTAAATCCCTTTCCTCAGATGTTGAGGTTAGTAGGGTATCAAATATGTTATACTCTGTCCTTATTGGAATTCAAACTTAAAGATTGCAGTTTATTGATGAGCCTTCTATGTGGAACAGTGTCAAAAGCCTTACTGAAATCTAGGTATGCAATGTCTACTGCACCACCCTGATCTATTATTTTAGTTACGCAATCAAAAAAATCAGTTAGATCAGTTTGGCATGATCTCCCTGAAGTAAACCCATGTTGTCTCTGATCTTGAAAATAGTGTATGAAATATGATAAAATATAGCTATTGAGAAACATAAAGTGAAGGCGACCAAACACTGCTGCTTGCATTCGTGCGACCAAGATGGCTGCCACCACTTGTTCGCGCATACCAACGGCGGCCACCGAGCTGACCACTTAGATCACTGAGGTGTAAATCATTAAAAGGTGTCAATAGGACTTAACAAGCATCCAGGTGGTCTTTAGTTCGTGAGGTTGTTCGGTTCACAAACCATACAGGGAAATCCCACGAACCAAGTCTTTTAGCATGTATTTTACATGGCCCATAGTCCTTGGGCAGGAGGCTAGCCAGCAGGCTCCTCCAGGAGTTCGTAGGAGAGACATCTTTGGCACAGGTTATTATTGATTTTTATTTAGCAATTTGGGGGGAGAAAAAGTAAAGAAAACCTAGGAAGAAATAAGACTTCTATAGGCAAATCTAATTTTTCTTTGCTTACCGGAATTAGTTTATTTGGACCTACATCACTATAATTTAGATGAAATAGGTTGATCGAGTTTTTTTTTGGGGGGGGGGGCGTGGCTAGGGGCTTAGGAACTCCAAGCCACCTTGTAGGAAAAGGGGACTATATGACTGGTCCAAACATTTGTGGGTGTGGACAATGGCATGTCTAACTTCCTTATGTTAGTAATACACCCACCAAAAGCCCATTGGTAGGGGTTAGACAGTAGCATGTGGGGTGGGGATACAATGACATTTATTATACTATATTACCATTACTATATTAATAGCTACCCTACCCACCACCCATGAATGGGACCGGACAGAGGAAATTGGTGTCCCCAATTATTCTTGTTTTTTTAGCACCTAACTATTGTCCATGGCCAGCAAGTGGGAGCTCTATAAAAATAACATGAAGAACTAGCTAAACTGAATATTACACCAATATCTACATTAATATGGACTTTGGCTTCTGCATACTGTCAAATCAATTTAATTAAGTAAATTATTAGTAATATATGTTTATTAATCATTAAATGTTTCGTACCTTGAACACTTGACTGGTGAGATCTCAAACATTATTTTTTAAACATTCTACACATAAATAGTTTTAATAACAGAATTATGTTTTTTAATATGCTTTATAAATATTAATAAGTAACTGTTACTATATAATCTGCAAAGATAATGAATGCATTTTTTTAAAATCTTTTACAGACTATTTCACTGAGCACTACAGTAAGTACAATACATAAAAAAATTCATATTAATCAGGTAAACTCAGTGGTTCATGAAAACAATAAAACCCTTAATTTCCATTTATTTTGTTAAAAACAATTAAGCATACAGTTTACGTAAACAAGGAGCATACGTCTAGAATAATAAGTATGAATAAAACATTTCAGCTATACAGAAAGTGATAGCATGAGTTCATGAGAGTGTTATTCGTGCTTGTGTATGTCTATAATGATGCTACTCTCTTGATTGAATTGAGGCCGTTAGAGAGAAGGCTTATTATTTTCATCATAACATTTCCATAATAAAGAGAGTCACTCCTTGGAGACAGTAAAGCCAATCATGTGCTGATATAATATGTTGCCATTATAGAATGTTCATGTTCACTAGATGCAGTACAGCTTTAAAGGAACATTATAGTCACCTAAACAACTTTTGCTTAATGAAGCAGTTGTAGTGTATAGATAATGCCTCTCAGGTTTTACTGCTCAATTCTCCGCCATTTGGGAGTTAGATCACTCTTTTTCTGTTTATGCAGCCCTTGTCACATCTCCCTGGGCTCTGATTAACACAACCGGCATCAAAAAAAATGGTTTCACTTTCAATCAGATGTAATTTACCTCAAAAATTTTATCTCTTGCTCTGCAAATTGAATGTTAATCACATAAAGGAGGCTCTTGCAGGGTCTAGCAAGCTATTAACATTGCAGGGGATACGAAAATATAAATTAAACAGAACTTGCAATAAAGTAAGGATTATGTTTAGATTACTCTTTACAGGAAGTGTTTAGGAAGGTTGCGCAAGTCACATGCAGGGTGGTGTGACAAGGGTTCATAAACAAAGTGATTAAACTTCTAAATGGCAGAGAATTGAGCAGTGAGGCTGGAGTGGCATGTTCTATACACCAAAACTGCTTCATTAAGCTAAAGTTGTTTTGGTGACTATAGTGTCCCTTTAAGGCAGATTTCAAATTTTCTGTCCATATGTTACTGCTTGGACAGTTTTGACACATAGTGGTCTTTAAGGCTGGCATGTCCTTGCAATTCTTTCCTCCTTCCAGACCCATTGTTTATGATCTTATCACTATTGCTCCTGACTGGTTGGTATTGTTGATAAAACAGGTAGTGACCATTCATATTTTACTGTTTAATTTGTTTTTGAATGATCTAGCTCAACTGTGAAAAACAAGACACTTCATATAATACAAGACACCATATATGTCCCTGAACAATAGTTCAAAAAATCAAAAAATCATTAAAAACCCACTTCTTCATAAAAGCGTATCAATTAAACTGTTAATAGCTCCCGACTGATTCCTCTTCTGCAACTGTCACTAGTTTAATACTATCCTTACCTTTTGTGTCACTTTACCCCACTCCCTCTAGCATGTAAGCTCATTGAGCAGGGCCTTCAACCCCTCTGTTCCTGTGTGTCCAACTTGTCTGGTTACAACTACTTGTCTGTTCGTCCACCCTCTGTAAAGCGCTACGGCGCTGTAAAGCGCTACAACTATACAGGGAGTGCAGAATTATTAGGCAAGTTGTATTTTTGAGGATTAATTTTATTATTGAACAACAACCATGTTCTCAATGAACCCAAAAAACTCATTAATATCAAAGCTGAATATTTTTGGAAGTAGTTTTTAGTTTGTTTTTAGTTATAGCTATGTTAGGGGGATATCTGTGTGTGCAGGTGACTATTACTGTGCATAATTATTAGGCAACTTAACAAAAAACAAATATATACCCATTTCAATTATTTATTATTACCAGTGAAACCAATATAACATCTCAACATTCACAAATATACATTTCTGACATTCAAAAACAAAACAAAAACAAATCAGTGACCAATATAGCCACCTTTCTTTGCAAGGACACTCAAAAGCCTGCCATCCATGGATTCTGTCAGTGTTTTGATCTGTTCACCATCAACATTGCGTGCAGCAGCAACCACAGCCTCCCAGACACTGTTCAGAGAGGTGTACTGTTTTCCCTCCTTGTAAATCTCACATTTGATGATGGACCACAGGTTCTCAATGGGGTTCAGATCAGGTGAACAAGGAGGCCATGTCATTAGATTTTCTTCTTTTATACCCTTTCTTGCCAGCCACGCTGTGGAGTACTTGGACGCGTGTGATGGAGCATTGTCCTGCATGAAAATCATGTTTTTCTTGAAGGATGCAGACTTCTTCCTGTACCACTGCTTGAAGAAGGTGTCTTCCAGGAACTGGCAGTAGGACTGGGAGTTGAGCTTGACTCCATCCTCAACCCGAAAAGGCCCCACAAGCTCATCTTTGATGATACCAGCCCAAACCAGTACTCCACCTCCACCTTGCTGGCGTCTGAGTCGGACTGGAGCTCTCTGCCCTTTACCAATCCAGCCACGGGCCCATCCATCTGGCCCATCAAGACTCACTCTCATTTCATCAGTCCATAAAACCTTAGAAAAATCAGTCTTGAGATATTTCTTGGCCCAGTCTTGACGTTTCAGCTTGTGTGTCTTGTTCAGTGGTGGTCGTCTTTCAGCCTTTCTTACCTTGGCCATGTCTCTGAGTATTGCACACCTTGTGCTTTTGGGCACTCCAGTGATGTTGCAGCTCTGAAATATGGCCAAACTGGTGGCAAGTGGCATAGTGGCAGCTGCACGCTTGACTTTTCTCAGTTCATGGGCAGTTATTTTGCGCCTTGGTTTTTCCACACGCTTCTTGCGACCCTGTTGACTATTTTGAATGAAACGCTTGATTGTTCGATGATCACGCTTCAGAAGCTTTGCAATTTTAAGAGTGCTGCATCCCTCTGCAAGATATCTCACTATTTTTGACTTTTCTGAGCCTGTCAAGTCCTTCTTTTGACCCATTTTGCCAAAGGAAAGGAAGTTGCCTAATAATTATGCACACCTGATATAGGGTGTTGATGTCATTAGACCACACCCCTTCTCATTACAGAGATGCACATCACCTAATATGCTTAATTGGTAGTAGGCTTTCGAGCCTATACAGCTTGGAGTAAGACAACATGCATAAAGAGGATGATGTGGTCAAAATACTCATTTGCCTAATAATTCTGCACTCCCTGTATAAATAATAACATAATAATAATAATAATAATAATGTATTCTTTGTAACATACTTTAACATAAAAAATATGCATGGATATAGATTGCTTGTTGAAGGCATTCCATATTGTATCCAGTAAAGTCTCCAAACAACAGACAAGAAGCATGGCTGAGATTGTACTGATCCAGGAGTCACTATATACATGGTGGAAATCGAAACTTAGCCTGAATATGGAAAGCAGACAAACATTCCAGCATCACTATAGTTCATGTTGAAATACTTCAAACAGCCATTTATCACATCTAGGGTGCAGACCTCTTGTTTGTGAATCCTTATGTACTCCCCCCAAAAATCCACAATTTTAGAGATTGTCTTAAATTAGAAATAAGTACAATAAGGCTCTGCATTTGTTTTCCAATTTTAATTTACTGGAAAGCATAATTGAATAGTTTTATAATCATATATCATATTCTTTCGTTCATTTCAGAGCAACATTACAACCAGTGGTGCTATTGGGTCGAAAGACAATGTAAGTGTTTTGGAGTAGTCATTCTGGACATACTGTAAATGAAATATTTGGAAGAATTACACTGTATGATTTCTTTGCAGTCAAATGTTTCCACTTTAAAACAATAGCACATACATTTGGGTTAGCAGAGTAGTAATTAACCAAATGGCATTGTTTAAACACGGGGAACGTAGCAAATTCCACACCAGGGCAATTCTTTGCCTATGGAGACTATATGAGAGTGTGATTTTTTTCAAATACCTGTTGTCAATGTTGTGGTTGAAATAGTCAAAAAATTTTAGCTAGAAGAGATGTCCACTATATGTGTGGCCATACAGCGCAAATAATGCTCGATTGTTGATGCATTTCTCAAATTTTCTGCAGGAGCACATATGTTGAGAAATGCATTAATATAGCAAACTGTGAGCTGAGAACAACTAAGAACTGCAAACATAAATGGCAATATGTCTTTGTAGCATCACTGATGCTTGGCTCAAAGAAAATCATTATGAATAAAGACTAGATTCCGATGAGATATCCACCTAATGGACATATTGGATATCATGGAAAATGGAGAGAAACGGGATAAGGAAGTGTGAACACACATACTTTTTTCACACACAGGCATTATTTTTCACCTGGGACGAAGAAAGACTGAATATATATATATAAAATGCATACATCTAATTCACATGAATTTAGAGCAAGAGACGGCAGCAGGATGCACTATGTTTTGGGCAATATTCTTTGGTTCTACCATTTGTATGGATGTTATCATCATGGCAATTGTCATGGTGTTCCTTGTTGGCAATGGCCTCTTTGAGCAGGGTAATGCATCTTGCCACACTGCAAAAATTGATCAGGAATTTTTGAGGACCATGACAAAGAGTTCAAGGTGTTGCCTTGGCTTCCAGATTTTCCAGATATTAATGCGATGGAGCATCTGTGTGATCTGCTGGAACAACAAATCCGATCTGCTGCTAAGGTCTTGGTGCCAGACACAACAGGTGATTTTGAGAGGAAGGGGACCTAAACGATATTAGGCAGGTGGTTTTAATGTTGTGGCTTTATATACAGTATATATATAAAATGTATATTTATTTATAACATTCTACATGTTTCTTTTTAGGCATTAGTAATCGGTCTTTCTGTTGGGATACCATGTGCTTGTTTGCTATTATTGGCAATTGGACTGACTTTATTCTGTTTACATCGGAAAAAACAATCACCTAAGGTAAAATATTACACGCTTACTACTGGGATGTATTGCATCTATATGTAATGACCACATGACTAATGAACAAAGAAACTTTTTGCTGTAGTAAGGCAGTCCAAGCACCATAACCACTACAGATTATTAAACTAGTAATGGTACAAAGTATCTGTGGACACCACCCTACTGGTGTGTGTCATACTGTTGACAAAAATTATTTAGAATTTTCAATATCTACTGCTGTCTGCCCAGCTCCATGAATACAATCTCATGAACTTGTTCAACTTTGAGCAACCCCCTTCATTGGTTTCAGCCTTTCGTAGCTGTGCGGAGTTGAAGGTAACATTGTGGAAGTTCACTTGTGTGTTACCCAGCGGTGTATTTACAGCGAGGCTGACAAGGCATTTGCCTTGGGCGTCACTTTCAGGGGGCAGCAAAAAAATATGCCCCCCAAATGCCCTAGCAAATGCCTTGCCAGCCTCAGAGATGGTAATGGAATCCCACTGGCCATCAAAGTCCAGTTGTATGACAGATAAGCAGTGTGCTACAAGTATTACCACTCCGTTAAAGAAACAACATTTATGTATAATGCTCAAATATTGTGCTGCCATGTCAAATTGGTCCCCCGTTTCACTGCAAATAAATGGCTAAATGACCTCTAATCTAGCAATAAGATGGAACTTCTCCGCAGCTCCGCTCCATTCACTGAGAGATCTTCGGTGCTGATTATCTCACAGCTTCTTACAGAAGCACTAGGAGGCAGGGAGCATGCATGAAGTGAAAAAAGAGGACACACTGTTAACCTCTAAAGCACCTCAAAACCTGTAAAGCACCTGAAGTGCTCCAGGGGTGTGTGACCTTCATAGAACTATGGTATTATTCTAAACAAGGGTTCCACGACATTCGGCGCTCCAGGTGTTATGGGTAACATCTCCCCTCATGCTTTGCCAGCATTATGGCTTTAAGGGCATTATGGGGGATGGGTTTCACAACATCTGGTATCCTGAATGTTGCCTATCTCTGTCCTAAAATATAACTCCAATTTTAGGACACTGAATATTCCCAGTTCTATATATTACATAGACCAGTAGTAGGCAACCTTAAGGGTGTCATATGCTATGGACTACATCTCTCATAATGCTCTTACAGCCATAATGCTGCAAAGCATCAGGGGAGATGTAGTCCACAGCATCTGGAGTGATGAAGTTTTCCTGCTTCTGACATAGATGATGCATTAAAAAAATGTAATTGAGGAGTTTTGGAGACTTTCAGAAACAACTCAAACTTTCGCTTTGTGTATTATGATGTCTCCAAATAACCTTTCACTAAAAATTAGAAACTGCAAAACATTAGTAACAGAAATATTTATTTTGCAGGATAAGATCAACTTAGAAAGATCTGTGAGTAATCCGTATGCCACGACAATTAAGGCTCCAAGTTTAAACTCAGAAATTTATGACGATGTTGGTGTTAGAATTCCTGAAGAAACATATGAAGGGGTTATGCCTAACGATGAAGAAATATATCAAACCACTATATCTTAACTAGAGTAAATATATCTATGATTGTAAAAGAAGACCAGTGGAAATCCACAGATAAAAACGAGTGATCGAGAAAAAAATATGCAAACATCACGTAGTGTAAAACTGTATTACAGAGATAAGGTTGAGGGATGGAATCAAAATCACATGATGCCGAGCAGTATTAGAATTGTTTTCATATATATATTGTACACTGCTAATATTTGGCACACCATCCTGATTATACTTTTGCTATATTTGTGTTACTTTTAATTGGTCCTGTACTGGATTTTTAGATTGTGATAATTTAGAAGTTTTAATAAAATATTCCTGATTCTCACATTTGAATCCCTGTGTACTGCTGAGTGGAACTTATACAAGCCTGTATGGGCACACCGTTTTTTTTTAGACCAAGCCTAGTATGTCTCTGTATCATGTGAGTTTGACTCCATCCCTGTAATACAGTGTAACACTATGTGATGTTTGTATATTTTCTTCAGGATTACTCATTTTTATCTGTGTTTTTCCATAGAATATATCTTAGAATTTTAAGTATGTTTATATAGTGTATTACACTGTTGTTTGTTTATCTGCTGGTCTTTTATTTTGTCAGTTAATGTATATATCTTGAGTGCTGCGTGAGCACTTTTAACTAGCAACATGCACAGTGCACTTATATTCACTCTGAAGTGCCTATACACTTTATATTCTTATTTTCTCTAATTGTAACCAAAACAGGCTCTGTAACAATGTCATGCACAACTAAGGTCATTTAAATGGGTACCTACATAATATAAAGCCCAACTTCTTTACTAAACTGTCTGTGACCACATCACAATGAGTTACATCATTATTCATAAATATTTGTATATACACTTTTGGAGTAGGCAACCTTTAGCACTCCAGATGGTGTGGACCACATTTCCAAAAAAAAGCATCAGGAAAGTAGCTTACAACATCTGGAGTGCTGGAGGTTACCTACCCAATGATTCCACAAAATCTGTCTCTTTAGAAACTTCCAAAGGTCTAGCCCCTCTGTTTTTATTTACTTGTTTGTTAAAGTTATTTATATTTTAATAGTATCCCAGTTAAACTGGTAGAATTTCCCCAGTGGTTAGCCCTTCATGCTTTGGTACAATAGTTTCCTCCATCCCTGTTATAGTTTGGAAATATTCTACCCTTTATTACATAACCTGGGGATTGATTAAATCATTTTACTTGTTTTTGTGATTACTGAATTCTTTTATGTGCCAAATGCGGTGACAACAAAGTTTTTTAATATTCTCAGAATTCATTTTTTTTTTTAAAGATACAGTTCCTAATTAAGAAACATCTTAGTTAGGTGTCATTGCACAAAATAAATGATAATATGAATTTCTGATTTGTATGCCATGGATGCAAAATGAGAAAAGTTGATATACAGATTGAATTTTAGTGATTTAAGGCTTTTGTTTTATTACTCATGACCACCTGTAGAAGTGTAAGTGGTGGATGTTGGTGCATTCACTCTAGTACTCTTTACTCTTGTCAGTTAAAAGCCTATCTCCAAAACATGACAGGAATCTCTGCGTCCCGGTAGATCATAGGTTGTATCAGCGTTGGAGAAGAGTTTCCAAAAGCCAAGACTCTTAATAAACTTACCTGTGCTGAAAAACTGTGAACTGAAGAAACTTCAAAAGGAACTTCTTGATACCAATAAAACACTGGATCTACCAGGACACCGAACAGAAGGGACTGCATTGGTATACTGGTAAAATATTAAGAAAAAATGAGACTCCACACTAACTTTTAAAAAATTTATTTTAGTAAATGTACTTATTGTAAAATTATAACCCAATGCGATTATCCCTTGTATTTTTCCCCTCCCTACTTTCTCTTTGCATGTAAGTACAATGGTTTGAATACTCATTAGCAGGCTATAGGAAGTCCATAGGCACCCACAGAGGGGACCTATTTTTCTATGGGTAGGGCAATACTTCTCTGCTTATTTTTTTCCAATTTGACAATTTTTATTGTTTAATTTTTATGGGGTACATAAAGGAAAACGGGGGAGGGAAGGTTAAAATGCATATATTAAGTATTGTAGCCATCACCTCGGCTGCACAGACTGTTTTCCCTTAAGTACAATTCCCGTGTTATTGCTGATTTTAACCTGTGGGTAACAGATAGAATACAATGAGTTGCATGCAGATCCCTAGTCACTCTTTAATCTTTAATCAACCCCCTAGTGTCTAGTTGCACTAGTTGCTAGTAGGGTTGCATGTTTTTGGGGTTCATTATTTCATGCTTTCTTTGGTTCATGTGTGGGCTCTGCGTATATAGTGCCATGGGGCGTATGTAGTGTATGGGCCCTCTAGATGGAGAGGTGAAAAGATGGGTTTTGTCTCGCCTGTCATGCTCATCTTTGACTTTACATTCCTAGGGAACAGTTCGAGTTTGTCTGTGCAGTTACCGGTTTAGCACACATCAAGGTGTAACAGTATGCAAATCGTGGGTTACATAAAGGAAGAGAGGGAGGGATCATGAACATAAACATAAAAAAAACAAGAACAAGAATTTAAAATGTATTTAATAAAATAACATTTGTTCACGCGAGAGATATAAGAACCGTAACCATAATTAACCATGCTCTATTGCATGGTTAATTGTCACGAGTTTGGGGTAAATGGGCTCAGTATGCAGAGATTTAGACAGACACAGTCTTTAAATTTAAAGTCTTTGACAGATGTGTGCCAGTGGTGCTCTGGCTTGAAAGCTACATAAACGCAAAATTCACCGGTCAAAAGCCGTCAGGAGATCAGCCCAAAATATCGCCCCCACCAGATGACAACATGGGCAGGAAAACCAAGAGGTTTTGGGTGCCGAGAGCCCAAGACTCCCTGACATAACTTTCGAGAGGCCCACATCGCGAGTACCTCTTAAAATGGTGCCTGAAGCGCAACCCGAGGTGGAGGACTCAGAGGATGCGCAGGAGGAGGCTGAATCCCTTGCCTCATCGCACCAAAAGGAAGCAGACCAGGAGTCCGGGTCAGAAGAAGACTTAACACCATCTACAAGAGGTGATATCAAGAAGCTGCTCCGTGACCTCCGCAAAGTGTGGAAGGAGGACCTCCATGAGACCCAAAAAGAGCTGGATATCGTGACCCAGAAGATAAAAAGGGTAGAGGAGAGAGAGAAAGCCAGTCACATATAGAGGAGCTTACACAACAGGTTCGACATATGCAGAGAAAAATGGCTTTCATGGAATCTCGGCACAGACGCCGGAATGTCCAACTGAAGGGAGTGCCAGAAATGGTCAGTGGGGAGGAATTACTACCCTACGCCCAGAGACTGTTCCTATCCATGGACCTTAAGGGAATAGATGACCCACCCATGCTGCTGACTGCATTTCACATTCACAAAGCCGCCACAGCTCCAGCCGACTCACCGAGAAACGTAATAATTGTAACCAGGGACATACCGGTTCATTCGCACTTATGGCCCGATGAAGGGCAATGGGAAGTGTCATGTTCGAAAAGAGTGTGGTGACACTTTATGAAGACATATTGTGGCACTAGTAGCCAAGATCCTAAGAGACCAAGCAGTTCGGTATAGATGAAGCACAGACGGAGCCCTAATGGTCCCGTGCAGAGACCAGACTTATACCCTTACATCGGAACAAGACCCAGAGACAATATGGAAACACCTGAAGCTCCCAACCAAGAATCTGACTGCAGCATCTACCACAAGTGTGAGAAACAAGTTAGCAGCTTGGGGAGACCCAAAGGCAAGCACCTCAAAGTCACTACCTAAGCCACAAGCACCCGTGAAAATGAGACTGTGACCGAGGGATGGTTAAATGTGACCACACAAGCCTGTCCTCAACATTCCTGGACATGCCATACTCCCAGCTAGATTTGCTGGATATGCCGCCCAGCTCAAAGAGCTATGCTCTAACTTTCCTAACCACCATAAAACCTGTACATGGGGGGTACTGTTTTACTCGTGAGACATCGCTAAATACAAATATATTTATTTTATTGCAGTAACAGCAAACAGCATTATGACATTCTCAGTTAAAATGCGATGCAGAACTAAAAATATAACAACATTTCTTAATTTCTCACAATTTGTTTTACATTTTATTCATTTTAAATTATATTTAATAAATAAATATTTTTTTTTTTTTAAATCTGACAATTTTTATTGTTTTGTCAATTAGCAAGAACTTGGGGGTACAGAAAGAAGAGGTGGGGTGGTAGGAGGTTAGCAAGTAGGTTACAAGCAATTCAGAATCACTTCTGTTATTTACATTTACATTGTTCATTGATCTTAGCAGTTTTGATTTGAATTTTTGTCAGGAGGTCTTATTTTTTTGTTTGGTAGAGGTTTGTGTGACGTCCTTTAACTCCATGAAAAGTTTCATGAGTGCGTCTCGCCTTTGCCTATTAAGATATAACGCTCTACGGATCAGTAGTCCCCGTATGACTGGTTTGTGTGCTTGCCACAGTATCGGAGCATTAATTTGCGGGGTGCTATTGGTGTAATGTTTGAGTTCCTGTTCTATTGAGGAGGTGAATTCCTGGTCATACAGAAGTGAATTATTCATCCTCCATGAACCCTTGCCTTTATAAGAAAATGCGTCTGTAAGTATCAGTGTCACAGGTGCGTGGTCAGACCAGGTTATGTCACCGTGTGTGCATTGATGTGTTTGTGGGAGCCCTGCGCTGGTTGTGAAAAAATAATCTATTCTAGAATGGGTTTTGTGCACTTGGGAGAAGTAGGTATAATCTTTATCTCCGGGGTGCAGTGTGCGCCATACATCATATAAGTTAAATTGGAGTAGGAGTTTATTAAGTAAGGTGCAGGCGAAGTTGAGAGATTTTGATCTAGGCTTTGCGGTGTCTAACCTTGTGTCTATTTCGGGGTCTAGAATATAGTTCAGATCTCCACAGCATACTAGTAAGCCTTGTTGTATATTGCTCGTTTTAGCCAACAAGCTTTGTAAGAATTGTCTCTGGTTGTCATTCGGTGCGTGAAAATTAAATATGGTGTATGTTACATTGTTAAGATTGCATATGAGTATAAGGTACCGTCCTTTACTATCTGTGAGTATTTTAATTGGTTCAAATTCTACCGAATGATGCACCAGGATGCTAACTCCCCTTGATTTGTGACTATATGTGGAGTGATATTGGTGTGGAAATTGTTTAAGGCCCAGGGATGGTGTTTTTAATCGTTGGAAGTGAGTCTCTTGGAGACATATCACATCAGCACTATGTTTCTTCAGTTCTGTCATCAGCATTTGGCGTTTTTGGGGGGAGTTGAGTCCCCGGACATTATGTGAATATATTTTCATTAAGGATGTGGTCCGTTGTATGCATGGTGTTGGTCGTTGGGGGGCATAGTCTAATATTCACTAATGTTTGGCAGTGGCATACCAATATTGATTTTTGGGTTTGTATGGTGGCAGGCTTTTGTGTGTTCGTTCTTTACCAGTGTTGGGCAGTGTTTGTTATGCATGTTTGGTTTGAAATCTTAGCGATTACTGACTCTTGTGGGTTTTCATTTGGCATGTCATTTTCTGGATCTGTGTGCAGATTAGTGGCGTGGGTGTGCTTTGGTTTTTCGAGTGGTTTGTAACCTGGGTTAAGGTTAGGTAGGGGAGGAACATGAGTCTCAGTGAGAGCTCAACTATATACAATATGGCCCAGATGTTGGGCTTGGTACCCCTTGTTGGTACCGTGGGGGTGGTGAGCATGCGTGTATTGGAAAGACATAGCCAAACTCATTACAGACAGTACAGGGAATACCCTACCCCATAGATTGGAACATTATGTTCTATTTGATATTTCCCAGGTAGCCTCCTCAGTGAGTAATAAATAAATATTTGATATGAAATGGAAGCCCTGTTTCTCCTGAAAATAATAATATGTAATAAGTGTGGGTGCATTTAATATGAAAGAGGTAAATTATAGTTGAACAGACATATAACGCAAATTCCAGGTTTTGGTTACATTTTGTTTTGCTCTGAACTTGTACAACTGTCTCAGTCCTTGAGCAGTTAAATAGGGGAGAGGTAATAGGAGCACTCCCGCAAGGAGCGGTCTCATGGCCTATACAACTAGAAGGTTCCTCTGGGTGAGTAGGTGTCCACACTTTCCTATGTGGGCGTGACACTATGTATCCATATATCATCTGATTTGTGTACCACTTAATCTAGGACCCTGGGGGAGTGGGGTATAGGATTCCCCGTTTTGGACAGTGGGGGTCAATTTTAGTGGATATTGTGAGTGCATAAGTATGAGTATCCGGGCCCATTACCCACATTATCTCGTTTCGGGTGTAGCTATGTGTGCTGTGGGGTAGGTCCCTTGATGACCTATCTCCGGTCGTCTATGTGGTGGTTCATGATGTTACTTTCTCCAACATCAGGCCTAGGTTGGGCAGTGTGTTCCATCTAGGGTGTTTAGGGAGAATAGATGGGTTGTTGCGCTGTGGGGTAGGGGAGGATGTGCGTGAGGAATCGAAACTGTGTGGTGGGCAGTGTATGGACCCAATGAACGCTCTCCTCCGAGTAGGTCAGGTCTGTGTTGCCCATTGTTGTTGCCATTTATCACCTTCACTTTTTGTCGCTGTGGCTGCTCTGATTTGTAGGTTTGCCATTAGCTTGTATGTCCAGTTTGTGGTTATTTGTTGTAATAGGTCTTTTCTCGTGGGTGCGGTTGGTTGTTTCCACCTCCGAGCAATTAATGCGTCTGCCGCAATAATAATGTGGAATAAAAGTTTGCGGTCAACGATCGGTATTTGTTGCAGGCCCATATATAGTAGGCACAGTTCTGGCGTTAACTTTACTTGTGTCGTTAAAGTTTTGTTGACTATTCCCTGAACTAGAGTCCAATAAGCCTGTAGAGTCTGGCACTGCCACCAAATATGGTACATGGTACAGACCTCAGCCCCACACCTCTAGCAACTGTTCGATGTGCCGGGATAGATGTGCGCCAATCTTCCTGGAACCAGATACCATCGGTATTGTAATTTGCGAATGAGTTCTAAATGTGTTGCGCATGCTGTTGTCCCTTTATGTGCTATGTAAGCCTCTTGCCATTGCTCTGTAGTAAAGGTCCTGCTCATCTCTGTATGCCATGCCTCCGTATGTGTGTAATGTGTCTCGGTTTGCGTTGTAAGGAGTACCTGGTAGATACTGGACATGAGTTTCTTTTGTTTGTGGGGGGCGAGACAGAGGGATTCTATCTTGCTAATTGTGGGAGCAGACAGCATCTGCGTCGTCTTTTGCAGATGTGACTTGAGTTGGAGATATGAGAAGATGGCTCTCTGTGGCAATTGGTATTGGGTTTGAATGGCCGGGAAGCTCTTCCAGGTGGAGCCTTGATACAGGTCTGCCACTAGTTTACATCCATTGTCATGCCAAATCATGTCATTGAATGAGGGGTTACCAAGGTGTATGCTGTATAGTGGGGTGGCTAATGAGTGTGGCCTTCCAGGATGTATGCTCTTGCGTGCTGAGTCCCACGTGTGTAGGAGTAGTTTAGTGCTGTCTAACATGTCCGGCCAAGGGGCTTCTCTGCTTATTTTTAATAGTTTTATACATTGTCAAAAATAAACTGGATGATGATATATATACCAGATATTTAGTTCTTACAAAAAATCTAGTTACTGCAACTCAACATTGATTAATTTATTTTAATACATTCAATTTTATGAATACATCTAAATAGAAAATACCATATTCAAAAGAACACTCCAGGCTGGACATGAACCTTTATTTTAATATATTAAAAAGAGAATGCAGATAATGCACCCTCCCCCCCAAAAAAAATCAAAGTAAAGTTTACATCTAACTTGTTTTAAGAAATCTGTGACCCTAACAACTATCCTGTCATGACATAGGCAATGAATATATATTTTTTCATAAAGATAAATAAATAAATTAATAAAATATGTATTCAATGTTAAGTTTTAAAATATTAATCCTAAATATTTTGGCTCCAGCACCACCATGTTACTGCTCAGATGATGTTCCAGTAATGTAATACTTAACTTCAGTGCTATACTGTGGTTGCTGTGCCAGAGAGAAAGAGAACTTCTCTTGCTTTCCCTGCCAGTTTATTTTTTGGCATAGAGTTCAATGCTAAAGGATCATTTGATAGGAGAGGGAGGGACATAGTTTCTTTCAATCTATACATTTATAGCACTTCTGCTAATAATTGATGTACTTTAAATGAAACACAACACTATAGAAAAAAGTTATCCAAACTACTGCGGCAGGGATGCCCAAAAGGTAGATCCACAGATGTTTTAAAACTACAGCTTCCATGATGCTTTGCCATACGTTGTAATTCTAAATGCATGCAAAGCATCATGGGAGTTGAAGTTCTACAACATCTGGGGATCTACCTTTTGGGCACCCCTGCTCTAGGACATCCTTTAGTCTCACACAACTGCATTTGTGGTGCCTCTACTAAACCCAGTGATTATATTAGCCAAATAAAACTAACTTGACAAACTCAAAAGTTAACTCTACTATTAGGGGGAGGGGGGCACTACAGGAGTGTCAGATGTTTCCCCATAGGAAAGCATTCAATAAGTTTTTCCTATGGGGTAATCATAATGCGAGCGCGGCCATTGCCACGCATGTGCATTAGTGATGTCGCGAACTTCCCGCAAACGGCTCGACGCGGTTCGCCACGAACCGTTCGTGGTGAGCTCCGGTCAGCTGACACATCCCTGCCAATCTCCAGCAGACCCTCCCTCCCAGACCCTCCCACCTCCTGGACAGCATCCACGTTGAAGCTGCCTTCAACATGGATGCTGTCCAGGAGGTGGGAGGATCTGGGAGGGAGGTTCGGCTGGAGATTGGCCGGGATGTGTCAGCTGACTGGAGCTCGCCGCGAACCGCGTCGAGCCATTCGCGGGAAGTTCGCAAACAGTTCGCGACATCACTAATGTGCATTAGGTCTCCCCCACCGGGGAGGAGTGTTGGTGGATTCAGGTACTGGACTGAAGGGGTTTTAACCCCTTCAGCAATGTGGGGGGGAAGGCGTGAGGGAGGGGGGCACAAGGGAGGGGGGCACTGCAGGAGCCTGTAGTGCTAGGAAAACAGGCCTTTAAATTTAACATTTACTTTAAATTCTCACTTTAGGGAATAACCCTGTTGGTGATGCCTATGAGAAAATGTCCAAAATCTTTATGCAGTTCAATTGTCTGTATGCCCAAAGTCTCTATTTAAATCTGCTGCCTACAATCTTACTACTTTTTATGTGCTAAAACTGAAAAATACAATGCTTGTACTAGTTATCAGTTTGTGTCCTGTTATATAAACAATGTATAATGTTTTAATTCGTTAAATATATGGCGGTTTTAAAAATATATGAATTTGTTATTAAACATTGTCTACTTTTATGGGCATTATTACTTTTTTGTTGCTTCCAGTGCTCTTACAGTCTTCTGTAAACATTCATTTAACCCCATTCACTACTGAATTATTTTTTTGAATTAGCACAACATGTATTTGAAATAAGTGATAGCTAGAATATAAACATATTACCATACAGCAATTTATGCCTCCTGCTTGGAATCCTTTGCATTTAGAACATCATAAACTGATAATTGAAATTATGCTCTACAGACACAAAGTAAGAATTGTGGACTGAATATTGTGATTAAAAATGTATTCATGCACATGTTGATGTATATTGATATTACACTTCTTGGTACAGCAAACACTTGTTTTTAGGCATAAGTATCTGAGTCAGTTACGTTAATGCAGTTATTTGGGAATCAAACTCATGCAAGTGAAAAACATACAGAAAATCTTTTTCTACTGGTTATAAAATTAAACAAACACACAGGACAAGTTGTACTTTGCATTTACAACTTAGGTTCTAATGAGATCCCATCAGTCACTTCAGCTTTTATAAGTGAGAATAGGAACATATTTATCACTCTGTCTCTCCGCAAATAACTGTTTAATTTTGACCATTCAAATCTAAGCTGCATCACTCTCCAAGGAGCCAATAAGCCACCATGTGACAACACCATCTGGGTCAACTGTTCTCCAGAATATTCTGTCAAAGTCATGGGTCGGCAATCCAAACTGGGTTTAAGCCAGTGGCTATATCCCCCTCAGCTGGGCAGGTAATATCCTGTACCAATGCCTCCTTCCATGTGATTTGTCTAACTGTAACGAATTGCCTTTGAAAGTACATGGCAGAGAGTCCATTAACTGTTTTGAACATACATAGGTATGTATCTATCATCATGTGCTCCCTTGTGTCACTTGGTGGTGTGATTTTTTAATGAGAAAAATACTTCTATTTTTCATCATGTGCAACCTTGCTACAAGGTGGTAAAACTCAAGGCTGTCATCAGAGATTGCAGTGTGTCATACAGAAACATTTTGCAGCGTTCCCTGGAACCCATTCATAGACATGCACACACATACAAACAAATATAGACACACATATAGACACACATACAGCTCATTAACACAGTCTGATTTGGGGAGATAGAATTATATCAACAACGAGACTGCAAAACAGGAAAGGGCCACATGTGGGCCCCAACAGAGGTCTGGGCCCCTGAATATATCCTGGGCTTTTATGCACTGATGGTTTCCCAGATAAAACTTGTTAGTAAACTGAAAATTCAAATTAATCTTAAAAGGGACACTCCACTACCATCCCAAAGAATAACCCCCCATTATTTACTAGATATATCCCAATGAAAACATGCAAATATATACAGTATATCTAAAAGCAGCTTGCAAATGCTTCAAATCTCCTGTCTGCAATCTTTGCAAACCCTCCCCTTCTAACCCTGACAAGACTTTCTGTGGCTGTCCAATCACAGACTTCCAAGTGCAGTTCAATGAGAAGTCTTTGCAAGGCAGGTGATCTGGGCAATTGCTGCCTCTTGAGTTTTGCTTCACTGGGCTAAATAAACAGAAAGTAACAGGACAACCAGGGGGTATAACAATAATAATAATTCATAAAAAAATCTGCATTTTTCTATAAAAAATCAGCATTTTGTTTTAAATTAAAAAAAGAGGACACACTATTCACACATAAATTACTTCAGGAAGCTAAAGTGGTTTAGGTTTATGTGGGTGTGCATATATATATATATATATATATATATATATATATATATGTGCATTTCAGTGTATCTATATCTATGTGTATATGTATCTGTGTGAATATGTATGTATATATATATATATATATATATATATACATATATACATATAGATGTGTGTGTATGTATATTGAATACATGTATATATGTATGTCTAGGTTGCATATAGGTCTTCATGCATATTGTGGATTATTTGATGTGATTTCATGCATTCTTAATCTGCATAATCATTTTGTAAAATCTCCTGCTTAGAGTACAATCTTTTGCACTGTTTCCATGTTTTTGTCTCTCTCTCCCCCCTTACTATGTGATCCTTACACAAGTATGGTGTCTATTTTCAATCAGACATGTGCCTTATTGAATTTGAACTCATGTCGCTTTATTCCCAGTATCACAACTGAAATTTGAATTATATGTGATATGTTTCACCTGACTCTATAGAAAATCTCTGGAGGGATTTTAAGAAAATGGTTGCAACACATGAACAATGGTGAAGCTGGTGTCTGTCTATGACTTTAGTTTGTGGCAGGTCATAACAGTAAAATGGTGCTATACTAAGTATTAAGATGCTTGCCATGAATGGGTTGAATACCTTTGAGACTGGAGAAGTCATATAAATTGAATTTTTAGTTGAATTTGTGGAAAACACTCAGGGGCGTACCACGGGGTTGGCGAAAACGGCACCTGCCAGGGGCGCATGTCGAGGGGGGGGGGGCACAAAAATCAAGTGTCAGTGTAACAGGGGATTTTTGTGCCCCCCACTTGGCCTGCGCCCCCGGCACCCCGGTGAAGCGGTCTGCTCCATAAGGGAACCGCACAAACAATACACATACACTAGGAGGGGGAGCTCCTCCTCCCATTCTGTGTAGGAGCACCGGGTGTCACGTGACTACCCGGCGCTCAGTGTGAGAGCGTGCCATAAGCAAGAGGCCACCCCTCCTTCCCTGCTCCAACCTGAACAATGTGTGATCTGACCAGATTAAGGACAAACTAGGCACTGGAGGTAACTGTGTAACCCTTCCTTCCCTACACTGGTTCCAGCAATAGTGTTAGCAGAGCTTAGTTCAACGTATAAGTATTGCTATATGCCCACACGTGTGTGATTGGGGGTAAAGGAGGTCTTGTGTTGGTGTGAGTAGGGCATGTGATACAAGGCCAGCCCACGGATTAATAAAGTGGGATTGTAGGAAAAAAAAACCACCTTTACCCGTGGGTGGAAAAAATAGGAGGAGGCAGGGCGAGGGAGCCAGCGATCAGAGGCTGGAGCCCAGCCAGATAGAGCAGACATCCAGCAGCACAGGGGGGAGAAGATACATGGAGACAAACCCACGTGGCTAGCAGAGTTGCCTTGAGCTAGGAGATTTTAAAGGGACAGCCTGGGGAATCCCTGACTCTCTTAGCATCATCCTTGTGCCCATTGGCACACATTTCACCTGTAGGTGTGTGTATGCTGTTCGAGCATACATGGATTAAATGTTGATTAATAATAAAAAAATATATAAATATATAAATGTTTTATTTAATATTTTAATTCTTTATTTTGGGTGCGCATATGATAACAGATAAGCTTGTGATGCCACGACAACAAAAACAAGCATCGTGGTAACAGATGGTATGACATATTAACATGGCATTCAGAAGAAACTGCACATTTTTAGTATTAGTATTATAGACATTGTATGGAGCAGAGGTTGGTAAGTTATGAGGGGAAAACAGACAAGGTACATCTCTGCACGTTTATATATAACCAAATTGCCAGACAACATGCTAGATCAACTTAAAAAACAGCTAGAAACATAGTATACTTAAATGATACAGGCGTCACTTAGTAGGTAGTAGTGTAGCAGCGCTGTGTTGAGCATAGTAAGTGTGTTATCGATTGTAATATGCCCTGACTCGTAATATAGAGTAGCTGGTAATCCAAGAAAAACATGTTTAACTAAAATGACAGGGTCAATACCAGGGGACGATCATTTTCCACAGATGATTGGGACCACTGCTATCGATCTGAGGCTGTGAGGGACGTGTGAAACAAGCGGACAGAAGGAGCCATTGCTTTTGCATATCCCCCCTTCCTTGACCTGGCTGCTATTCACCCAATGCCCTTGCAGGCTACCAGAGTCATGTCTGTATGGAATGTCCTGTGGGTCCAGGGCTGTTCGCCCAACTGGCCCTGATTCGGTACAAGGGCCCAGGTGCAGGTCCCTCCGCTCCGGTCTGCCTTGCCACCGCAAGCTTGGTCTCGGGAGAGTGTGGTTGCCGCTTGGGGTCGAGGTTTTGCCTTTCGGTTGTGTGGGTTGAGCACCAGGGTCTTCCCCGTCTGGGCCCTTCGCCCAGGAAGACTGTGGCAAGCTCCGGACATAGTGGGACGTGGGTGGGTATCCGTTTGGTCCGTCTCTTTGGCTGCTCCGATGTGTGGGCAGTGGATGTTTTCCACCGCTTGCCTGCCAGGAGGGAAGGAGGGTCTAGAGTCTTGGTCTTAGCCTGCTCCTCTCTTTCTTGCAGCTTCCTCCAGAATGTACTGAATAAGGCATCTAGCCGCTCCTCGAGCGTCCCCTGTAAGCCTCGTGCTGAGGTGTCTGGTGTGGCAGCTGCCATTTTGGCCTCAGATTCAGCGCTGAGCGCAGGCCTCAGGTGTGGGTGAGTTGGTTGGTATTTCTTATAGCTTGGGGGCATAGCCTGTCTGTTTGCGCCGGGATAACCCCCACCGACTGGGGGGGTGGGGGGGATTTGGGGTTCCCAGCCACCGCAGCGTGTCCGATAGCTAGCGTGTCCGATTCTCTCATGCTCGCCACCGCTGGTAGGCCGAAGGTTGTCTTTGTGTTACTGTTGCTTGGCTGCGTGCAGGAACTCTGCCGGGTGTAGCTCCGGTGTTCACCGACCCTCTCTGGCATTCAAATCTTCTGTGGTGAGTTATTAAAAGTCGATTTGTGAGAGTTTTATTAGATTCTCACACGGAGCTCTCTCTTGGTGCGACCAGCTAGCTCGGCAGCCGGGCCCCGCCCCCCAATATATAAATGTTTTATTATATTGCTGTAACACAATGTTTGGTCTGGTGGAATGCACCAGTTAAAATGTCAATGTGTAGTTAATTGATTTAGTAATTTAATTTTTTTTTTTTTTTTTTCGAATGAAACGATTTGTGACAAGCTGAACTTCATAACATGCAAAGTCTTCCTGCAAAGCTTTGGAAAACAATGAGGACCAGGATTGGCTGATGAAACACAATCACTTTTTGGTTTGTAGAAGATTTGCAGAAAAAAAGTGACATTTCTTTTGTGATTTTTTTTTTTAAATTTAATTTTTCATTTGGTTATGTATTGGCATAACATTAAAGAGGGGTGTTATCACAAGTTTGGAACATCCCTTGAAATACTACGGGGTGAGTGTTTATTAGGTCAGCTGTGCCACATTTAACATATAAACTGGAGATAACCCACTATACCAGGAGGTTTCAGCCAATCCTGGTCCTCCTATTTTCACACAAGTGTGATGCATATACCATAAAGCCATTTGCGGCAAACATATATAAGTTATGTAGTTCTGAATAGTTTTATTCATAAAAATAAAGTAAAATGACTCAGTAAGTTAATAGCTGTCTGTTATTTAAACCATAAACTCATAGATTGTAAGCTGTTTGAGCAGGGCCCTTTCACCTCTTGTATGTGTCAAGTTTATTTTTGTCTGTCAATTACTTGTTCTATAGACTTGCTGGGAAATTGTAAAGAATTGCAAATTGCCATTATATGATAGGTAACATTAACATTTAAGTAATAATGATATACACTGACTTATATCACATTTCAGTATAAAATGAGTAAAAATGGAATTGTGCATAAAGCGACTCTAAATAACTCCATATAAAACATAAACCATTTTTTTTTGCATTTAACAGCAATATTAATATACTAATCAAGCACATTTGTTAGAATATTTTAGAAATATTCACAAAATATTTTTCGTAATGTAATGGTACGTTGGCATAGTGATAGTTTTTGTGTTCATTTATATTATTCATTTTTTTTTTTTTTAAATAATCACAGCAGCATGGTTTCATATAGGTTATATATCATCCTCCTCATTACGGATTTTTCCTATCAAGCATTGACTGTTCATTTACACCCTTTGTTCGCGTGCAGTTTTATATGGACAATAAAGATACATTTGAATGTGATGACGCAAATACGCACGCACACAGCCGCCGAAACCCGGAAGTGGGGGAGTACTACAGGTCACGGTAAGATTTTGCTGCCAAAGTTAGGATATATAAATGATTTTATTTTTCCAACAGATTGCAGGGGCCTTCGAAGGGACGTGGATGTCCCGAGCGCGCAGCCCATGTACTGTGACGACACTTTCATTGCGGACAACTCCGATTTGATACACAGCAGCAACAACTTTGAGGGAGACATATGAGGACCACATCTGACACCTTTATTGAGTCCTTTTTTTCAGCGCACAGCAGGAATTCAGCAGTTTAAAATCCTCCAATAGACACTTCACAGAGTCTTCATTTTTTCCAGTTGCTACTAAGGCTACAATCCATCTGGATATTCAACTTGGTGAGATCCACCTATTTATTATATAAAGTGCACTATTCTCTGGACTATTGTACATCAGGACATTTACTATCTGTACACTTTTTATTTTTATATTTTTTCTCTTTTATATTTTTTCAATTTTTCATTATTTTTCATATTTCTTTCATTTTTTCATTTTTTATTCATTTTTTCTTTTTTCTTTTTTCTATGTACATAGAACACCACAGATTCAACTATTATCCATATGGATAGGTTTTCCTTAGATTTGCAAACAGGAATCCTCACAACTGTGTTTATATATCAATTATTTATCTATATAACACCTATGGAGGTTATTTTTGTAAATAGCGATTGACTATATGATGTAATATATTCATTTGATTAAATTATAATCTCACATATTAAGTTATATACCTAGACATCAAAGAATTGAAAATAATAAATTCAATTACAGTACTTCTTTATCTACGGTTGATTATTTTACAACATTGAGTGCGGTATTCATATATATTTTTTGTAGGTTATATATTGAGCCATTTTCATTTTGGCTGTTAGAAGTGCACATTTAATACAATAAAAAATAAATAGAACAATCAATTGACGTGACTTTGTTCATTTTTGTGTGCCCCGCCCCCCCCCAGTTGTGACTGGTTAGTACACAGTAGCCTACATGTGTTGAAAATATGTTTTCCTCTTTTCCTTCACATGTATAAAGCCCATTCAGACATGTTTACATACCATGCACAAGGAAAATAGGTTTCATGTTCAGCTTAGGAAATAGTATTCTCTTATCTTTCCATGTTATGAATTGGGGATCAAATCTAACCTGGGCTGCTCTCATTTGTCGTTATAAGTGTGGTTTAAGTAGCAGAAAGACTTATACCAATAAGTGGAGCGCTCCAACACATATATGGCTTACCAAATGATATTGCACTCAATGGTAAAGTATAAGGTACATATAAAGGAAAAAAATACAAGAAAGGACAATATAGTGCAGACGGTATTTCCAATGGTAATTTAACCTTAATAGTATAGTTAGATGAATGGAACACTCACATTTTAAGGAGCCTGTATATAAAAAACACTGGCTCCGTATTGTGGCTTGTGTGCTTATTAGGGTAGCACCGCCCGTCTCCTTCAGATGATTCTCAAAGACAAAAACAGGAAATACGAACCAATGTGTAGATATTTCTTCTGGTAACACAATGTGATACAAGTAAATGGTGTGCTCACCTGGTCCTGAGCCTGTGGGTCCCGGCTCTAGGTGTATAGATATTGTACCAGTTTGGATGGGTATGGCACTACCCCTGGAAGATTCCATATGATCTGCCATGTTAACTAACGCCAGTGCTGCAGTGCCGCCGTGCTTACATTAAAAGGCCTGCAGGGACAGGCTATAGACACCAGAACCACTACATTAAGCTGCAGTGGTTCTGGGGACTATAGTGTTTCTTTAATGTGAGGTAAATTAGAGATTAGTGCCACGAATAATATACTAGATTGCCTACTTACAACCAGATGAGGATGATGATGGGCTCTAGCTGCAGTCTAGCTCCACTGGTCTGGTGCAGAACAGGCTCTCTGGAGGCGGTTTGTAACTGTGGTCACAAAAATCAATGTTCTGGGAGAACGGGAAGCAGCTCCATTTTTTGGGGGCCCTTTACACAGCTCAAGGTCTGGGTCCCTGGGTCCACCTTCATGTTCCACCAATGAGTTTGTCCACAGGGGGTGGAGTGTGTAGGGGATGTCCTGATATGTGTGTAAGGAATGCATTGTGTGAATCTGTGTTTGTATGTGTAAGGGCTGCAAGGTGTGTTTCTGTGTATGTACACAGGATGCAGTGTGTGCGTCTGTAAGGGATGCATTGAGTGTGTGTAAGGGGTGCATTGAGTGTGTGTAATGAATGCATTGTGTGTTTCTGTTTGTGTAAGGGATGCATTATGTGTAAGGGTTGCATTGCTTGTGTATGTGTGTCTGTGTGTGTAATGCATTGTGTGTTTTTCTGTGTGCAAGGGGTGCATTGTGTGTGATTGTGTGAGTGTGATGGATGTCAATCTCCCCCCCTCAATTTCCTTCTCCCCCTCCCCCCTGTCAATTTCCTTCTCCCCCCCCTCTCCAATTTCCTTCTCCCCCCTCTCCAATTTCCTTCTTTCCCCCTCCAATTTCCTTCTCCCTCCCCCTCCAATTTCCTTCTCCCCCCCTCACTCCAATTTCTTTCTCCCCCCCCCACCGCCACCACTGTTGTAGCATGGCCAAGCTCTGTATGGTCCGTGGGTACAGGGAGCTTTTGTTTCCTGTACCCTGCCAGACTAAAAGGAAGTGCTCAATGAGTGTGTACTTCCTGTTAGTCCGGCCGGGTACAGGAGACAGATGCTCCCTGTACCCGCGGACCATACAGCTCGGCCACGCTACAGTGAGGGAGTGACAGCCGCTCTCCTCAGGCTGCGCCCGGGCGGTGTGCCCTCATGGACACACCAGCCCGGGCAAAGCTGCAGCCGCCTGAGGCTCTCTACAGAGTGCTCGGGTGGCTGCAGCATGAGGGGGGCCGGCGCTACCTGTTTGGAAGGGGCGCCGCCAGGAGCGCTGGCCCCCCTCATGCTGCAGCCGTGTATGCATGTGTATCAGTATGTCTGTATGTTTGCCAGTGTGTGAATCTGTGTCTCTGCGTGTCTGCATGTGTGTCAGTGTGTGTCTGTGTATCTGGGTGTGTGATGTGTGTATCTGCACTGTGTGTATGTATGTATATAAGTTGTATAAGTTTTTGGTAAAGCACATTAAGTGTATCAGAATTATATAAATATTTTTCAAACAGTACTTTTTCTTTGGATCTCACTGATTGCTCTTGGATTTCTGAACACCTCATGGTGGGGGATAAAATACCAACTATGCCCACTGGGTTAAGCAAACCTTATTTTGCTCTACTACATGTAAGATTTTATCTATTTTATGTTTTCATTCCTTTATTATGGTGTACACTATTGTGGTTTTATTTCTCTTTTATGTTTACATATGCAGAGATGCTTTCACAACCTATATCCTAAAGTGGGAATCATATCGGTGTATGCTATACTCGTGGAGCCAAGGTTTAGGCTCCATAGTATGTGAGTGCACATTTTTACATTGTTCTGCTATTTGGTCTGGCATACTGCACCATATTGTTTCGATTTTCTTCCACATATCCATGAGAAAATTCACCTATACAAGGACTATACGCAGATCCTGAACCAGTGGTGTATTCTGGATTTGTGCTGCCCTAGACAGGAAAAAACTTGTGTACCCCCCCTTTACGAATTCCTCTTCCTGACAGACACACACCCTCACTGATGCATGCACTGACATACACTCATTTACATATACACAGTCATTGTCACACACACTGTGCACCAACATACAGTTTCACTGAAACATACACATTCATAGACATACATACTCACTCATTCACAGTTACACTCAGTCACAGTAACACACACACACACTAACATTCACAGACAGACACACATTCACCGACAGACACATACAAACTCATTGACAAGACACACATGCACACTCACTGACAGAAATGCATTCACACTCTCTGACAGATGCACACTCACTCAGTGTAAGACACACACACACACTGAGACACACATATACTCACTGACGGATACGCACTGACAAACACACATATACACTCACTGACAGACATTTATACACTCAGTGTCAGACACACACATTCACTGACAGACATGCACTCTCAGTGACAGATACACACACTGACAGACACACATACACATTCACTGACAGATGCACACTCACTCAGTGTAAGACACACACACTCACTAACAGATACACACACATTCTCACTAACAGACTTGAAAAATATGCCAGACAGCATGTGGTAAGAGAACTATTTCCAGGTAAGTAAGGTTCTAATTTGTTACAGTGGGACCATCAATGCTTTTTTTCTAGTTCAGAATTTGGTGTTTTAAAAATAATCCCTAAACCATTGTGGATTTGAGTTTTGGAAAAATCTGTCTACTTCAGAAAAAAATTGGGAGCTGCAGTGGTTTAATGTAGCTACATTTGAACAATGACATGCATTCTTGACTGATAATTTCCATTAGCAATTAAAATACATTGATCTATAAACCTATGTCCTAGTTATTTATTTAGAAGGAACTTCTCTGGTCCATGCTGTCATTTTCCTAGATTGCGATTTGTGACAGATCATCTTTCTAATTTGCTACTCTAACCCAGGAAGTACTATAATTTTTGAGAAGATATTTTTCTGCAGCCACAGAGCCCCAAAATGCCTCATTTACAAAAACTGAGGCATGCCGAGCAGGTAGACAAAATCTAAGACTCCAAGTACATATACTAATGTAAGTTGCTCAAAGTTTTTTTTATTGTATGAATATAATTTTTGGGGAGACTTGGAACACAATTACAGCTTCTCCAAACACAGTCATAAACAAACAACACCAATCTAGACCACTGGCAGCTCCCCCAAACACATAATACACATTATATGCTCCAAGACACAGACATACACATTCTCTCACATTCACATTCTCACTTATAAACACACACACAGATATACATTCCAGGCACATTCATGGATACACATACATGCAGATATAACATAAACAGAAAATATGAGAATACTGAGAATGCTCAAAAGTTAATGGGTGGGATCAGTCTGATATGCAAATGGTATAAGTTCTCTTTGTAAACTAATCATACGGCAAGTTACTGAGTTTCTCTAAACTGTTGTCCATTCTTGGAGTTCTTATAGTCTCTGTTTTTGTTGCAATACATTAGTTTGGCTCTTCCTAAGCTCAAAGGGTCATCCAGATGTGGACCCTGTGTCCATTGTGCCTGGAGGGGTATCAGCTACACCTTGCTAACGAGGCCCAAAGTAGGTTGAAACAATCATCCGAGGTTGCTGTATCTCTTTTGCAGAGAGAACTTTCTGACATTTTGGTTCTGGCCTGATATGCGCATGTTATAAGTTCTCTTTGTAATGGCACAAGTGAGCAAAAACATTTTTAAGACCTGAGTGGGGATAAACCAAAGGGTAAGCTACTGAATTTCTCTTAGCTTTTGCTCATTCTCAGAGTTCTCATTGTCTCTGTTTTTTTGCAATACCTGCAGATATATACTCACACTCACAAACACACATACAAGCATACTCAATGCCACACACACTGGCTGAGTGCTTATTTCATGTGTTGTAGTGAGTGGTACTGTGCAGTGTCACTGACAGTTGGCTCGTCAGCCTGGTGTGCATTAATGTC